AGATATTCCACTAGGCAGCCAGGTGTGCACAGGGAAATTTATAGGTCAATAGGACACTTTGCTTACACCTAAAGTATCTATTCCCTCTGACCTGGTCTGTTGGTACCTTTTTTTTTTTTAATTAAGTATCAGAAACTTTGTAACCATTCAATAACTAAATAATGAAGCTCAAAATACGTGACATGATAGCATTTAGGTAGAAACATACATATGAATAAAAATAGCAAACAAATACAAATAGGTTTATACTGATGTAAACTATATATTTTGTCAAATTTTATAAATTACAAGTAATTTATAGAGAATAGTTTTACTTCAATAAAAAATGTCTTTCATAGATGCCATTTTTTACTATAAATTCATACAAGCCAGGAAAAAAAATTAATGAAAGATTATAGATCAAGTTCTTCTTGGTAATTCAACAAAGTGGGATTGGAAGAAGGACAGGGGCTGATGACTAGCTTTGTGTTAATATGACTTTGTCTCACTTATTACTGAGGTAATTTGTAAAATATTAGTACCATAAATTCTTCAAGGGTATTTGGAGATCTTATAATAGCAGAAAAGAAAATATTCAGATCTGAAGAAAAGAGAGATATAAAAGCAGAGTAGTATGAAGTGGCAAAGGCCAGAGAGATGACTGGTATATCTAACAAGAGAGAATGCCCTGGGTGCTGGGACCACATTCAGAATAGTTAAGACCTATTTAAGTCTATGAATGTTCACCTTCGGGAGGAGGTCCTATGAACAGTGACAGAGAGCATTGTCACTGCCAGGTTACTCTCCACCTTGTGGAGACCACAGGAACTAGAACTCCTGCCCCTCTGTTCATGCCCTAAAGGGCCTCCTCTGGGTGAAGCCTCTTCCTGCTCCACCTGCCATGGCCGCCAGGCTCCTGTGCTGTGTGGTTCTTTGTCTCCTGGGAGTAGGTGAGTCTCCAGAAATTAAGAACCTGCATTTTTTTTCCCCATTATAATTCGATTTATGCTCCTTATCCTGTTCCCAATTTTATCTGCCTTTACAGAGTCCACAGATGGTGGAGTCACCCAGACACCCAGGCACAAGGTGACAAAGAAGGGACAAGAAGTAACTCTGAGCTGTGAGCCGATTTCAGGCCATACCTACCTATATTGGTATAGACAGACCTCAGTGCAAGGAACGGAGTTCCTGATTTCCTTCAGCAGTCAAACTCCATTAGATAACACAGGGTTGCCCAAGGAACGATTCTCAGCTAAGATGCCTAATGGATCATTCTCCACTCTGGAGATCCAACCCACAGAACCTGGGGACTCAGCCGTGTACCTCTGTGCCAGCAGCTTAGCCACAGCGCTACAGAGTCACCCCCTCCCTGTGCAGAAACTCTCCTGCTTCCCCTTCTTACACCAGCCCTCAGTTATCCTGAGCAAAGGTCTTTCCTGCTCCTCTCTCACAAAGAGAAACGAGTGTGTTTTGGATCTGACAAGGGCAGAAATGATAAAGTATCAATAGAGAAAAACTTGAGGAGAAAATAGTGTCAAAAATGGTTTTCAGGGATTCCTCATACATTGTTTGTGGGCTTAAAACTCACCTCACAGGGAAGATAAACTTTATTTACCCACACCGTGGATGTTGCTGCCTTCCTGCATTGGCCTCCTGATCTGAATAGTAGTAGCTCCTGGTAGTGGCTCCATTCTCTTCTCCCTTCACAATTGTTAACTGAATCCACATTCACACGTGTAAACACCCACACCTACACACACACACACACACACACACACACACACACACACACATTTTGATTGTACCAGAAACCTCTTTATGACAATTGTAGACATTCCTTTATAATGTTCCTATCATCTTATCATTCATAATGGCTCTTTTATTTCACTCATACTATCTCAAACATGGGTAAACCATGTGTTTTACTACATTAGATGGAAGCTACCACTCCTGGAATCCTGAAATTTATTTGTCTCTGTCCTGTTTCAGGAGTGCCCAGGCCTGAGAGCAGACAGCTGAGGCCAGTGCAGCTGAAGGCTTGTGTGGGGCTCATGATACTCATGAGGCCTCTTTAGCCTCCAGATACAAAACAATAAACATGGACTCCACATCAGGATATCTAAACCCATGCAAACTTGTCCAGTCTTAGTTAGCCCTCTTTCCTACCTGACCATATGTCCTTATAACATAAATGTGTATTTTATTCTGATTTATGCCAGAAATTTCCACATAAACCTGCAATCCATTCCAATGGTTATAATTACTCTCTTCAATATATTTTATTGATTTTTTACAGAGAGGAAGGGAGAGGGATAGAAAGTCAGAAACATGGATGTGAGAGAAACATCTATCAGCTGTCTCTTGCACACTCCCTACTGGGGATGTGCCTGCAACCAAGGTACATGCCCTTGACTGGAATGGAACCTGGGCACCTTGAGTCCACAGGCTGATGCTCTATCCACTGAGCCAAACTGGTTTTAGGGCTCCTATGATTCTTATATCCACATATCCAACTGTCTTTAAACTTTCATGTATTAATTCTTACAATGTCTAAACCAGGTTCAAGGTTTAATACTATTAAATATATCCCTTCAAAATGAGCACGGCAGTCAATCAATCTTTCTCAGAGAAATTATTTAAACTTCGTGTGTCTGGGAGCTAGGGATTGCCTTCAGAGTAGTACAAAGGAATTGGGATTTAGAAAGTACTTTATTCATGTGCAGAATTTGCAGTATTGATGGCACACACAGGCGGAAAGGCCTAACAGAGAGTAGACATGTGATATAGCAGAAAAGAAAGAAGGGTAGAAACACAGGGCTATGAGAAGTGACAATTGATGAAAGTTTTGGAGACTTTGAATGAGCCAATCACATCCCAGAATAGATATGCCCTATTCCAGTCAGTCTTCTGAGAAGATTAATACTCACTTCAGGAAGAGGTCCTATGAGCAGTGACAGAAAGCATTGCCACTGACAAGCCACTCTTCACCTTGTGGAGACCAGAGGAACTAGAACCCCTGCCCCATTGTTCATGCCCATAAGGGCCTCCTCTGAGTGAAGCCTGCTAGTGCAACACCCTGCCATGACCACCTGGCACCACAGCTGTATGGCCCTTTGTCTCATGAAAGTAGGTGAGTCCTCAGAAATAAAGAATTTGCATTTTTCGATATTCCCAGTTCTGATTCCATTTATGTTCCTAACCCTGTTCCCAAAATTTGTCCACTTCCACAGGACTATCAGATGCTGTAGTCACCCAGACACCCATGAGCATGGTGACAAAGAAGGGACAAGAAGTAACTCTGAGTTGTGAGCCAATTTCAGGCGATACCTACCTTTACTGGTACAGACAAACCTCGGTACAGGGACCTCAGATGCTGATTTACTTTGGCAATCAAGCTTCTCTTGACAAGAAAGGGATGCCCAATGACCGATTCTCAGCTCAGATGCCCAACGAATCATTCTCCACTCTGAAAACCCAGCCCACAGAACCTGGGACTATGGTGTGTACTTCTGTGCCAGCAGCTTGGCCACAATGCTTCAGAGTCATGCACTCCTTGTGCAGAAATCTTCCTGCTTTCCCTGCTCACTACAGCTTCCAGGTGTTCAAAGTAAAAATCTTCTGTGCTCCTCCCTGATAAAAAAAAAAAAAAATGCATGTGTTTGGGGATGTCAAGAACAGAAGTCATAACGTATCCCACCTAGAAAACCTTGCGTAGGAAACAATGTAGGAAATGGGCTTCAGGGTTGCTCACAAATTGTGGGCTCAAAACTCATCACACAGGTAAGATATACCTTAATTACCCACACTGGATTTTCCTGCATTCCTCCATCTGAATGACAGAAGTTCTGGGTAACGGCTCCTCAGTCCTCCATTCTCTTCTCACTCTAAGCTATTAACAGACTTTCCCTCACAAGGTTTCTAGAGCTCTCTCATACAGTCAACAGACATAGTAATTGACTTATTTTTTGCTATTCAGGGGCCCTGATCTTAAAGATGGAAATAGTGATGAATAAAATTCCACTGTGTTTACACCAAGAAATAATCTTCTTTGATGTCTGATATCAGTGCACTTTTTGCCCTCCAGGGTTCTCCCTACAGTTTACAAACCATTAACTTCTCCTCTGTCAAAATACCCAGCTCTTCACACACATAGCATTAGAATATTCCCCTTTGTTCTTACACTCACTTCTTTACCATCAGGTCTCTCTTCATTCACTTCTTCTCCTCACTACCAATCCTGCCATTATTGATGACTTCTTCATCACATGGACAATTTACATATGTTGCGTTTCTCAGTTCCTTGACCTCCTCACTTTTAATAATTTTCTACATTCAGTGTTTTCCTGATGCATTTCCATGATTCCAGATCATAAAGTAAATAACAAATAAGCTCCTTCCAAAATTTCTATTTCAATCATCTCATGCTCCTACTTATTCTTCCTTTCATTTTATCTCGGGAATACAGCACCCTCCCTTCCTACTATGATTATTCTAGACACTGATCCTTAGTCCACATACCCTTTTAAACTCCTGTGTTCTTCTTTCTCACATTGACTAAACCAGTTTCAGGGTTTAAGACTATACTGCCAACCCTGGTTAAATCCACTTTTCTCTGCCCAGGGTATCTGCTTGTGTCCCTTCATAATGAGCATGGTGGCCAATCAGAATCCTCCCAGGATGGATCTGGATAAAAGCCCCAATTCAATAAAACTTTATTTAGACTTGTGTGTCTGGGAGATAGGGATTGCCTTCAGCGGAATATGAAGGACCTTAGATTTTGAAAGTACTTTATAGGTGTCCAGAATCTGCAGTGTTGATGACCTACACACAGAGAAAAATGTCTAGCAGACAGTAGACATGTGATATAGCAAAGAATAAAGAATGGTAGAAGCACAGGGTGTGAGAAATGACAAATATTGAAAGTTTTGGAGACTTTGAATGAACCAATCGCATCCCAGAATAGATATGCCCTATTCCAGTCAGTCTTCCGAGAAGGATTAATGTTCAGTTCTGGAGGAGGTCCTATGAGCAGTGACAGAAAGCATTGTCACTGACAAGCCCCTCTCCACCTTGTGGAGACCAGAGGAACTAGAACCCTTGCCCCTCTGTGTGTGTTCAAAAGACATCATCTGGGTGAAGCTTCCTGCTCTCCCACCTCGCCATGGCCACCTGGCTCCTCTGCTCTGTGACCCTTGGCCTCATATTAGTAGGTAAGTTCCTAGAAATAAAACATCTGGCTTTTTGGATATTTCCAGTTTTTATTCCATTTATGTTTTTTATTCTGTTTTAAAACTCTGTCCACCACTTCCACAGAGCACACAGATGCTGGAGTTGTCCAGACACCCAGGCACAAGGTGACAAAGATGGGACAAGAAGTAATACTGAATTGTGAGCCAATTTCAGGCCACAATGACCTTTACTGGTACAGACAGACCTTGGAGCAGGGACTGAAATTGCTGATTTATTTCAATAATAAAGCTCCTATAGATGACACGGGGATGCCCAAGGAACGATTCTCAGCTAAGATGTCTAATGGATCATTCTCCACTCTGAAGATCCAGCCCACAGAACCTGGGGACTCAGCCGTGTACCTCTGTGCCAGCAGCTTAGCCACAGAGCTGCAGAGTCACCCCCTCCCTGTGCAGAAACCCTTTTGGTTCCCTTTCTCACTCCAGCCTTTAGTCATTCTGATTGTAAAAGTCTTCCCTGCAACTCTCTCACCAAGAGAAATGCATGGTTTGGGGACATAGCAGTAAGAGAAATAACAAGGTATCAATATATATTTAAAAAGCTCTACTTAGAAAACAATGAGGCCCAAAACTCACCACACCTGTAAGATAAATTTTTATTGTTCCCATTATGGGTTTTCCTGTGTTCCTGTCTTGGTCTCCTCATCTGAATGTGGGGAGCACCTGATAATGGCCCCTCAGCTCTCCATTATTTTCTCCCTGTTAACAGAATTTCCCCACAAGTTTTTTAGAATTCTGTCATACCGCCAATAGCACTTGTCATTCTTCTACGTTTTGCCACTCAGGGGCCCTGATCTTAAAGTGGAAACAGTAACATGTTCTTTATGTTTATGCCATGAATTATATTGAACAAAATACATCTGCTTTTAGTGCATTCTTTGTCCTCCTGGCTCCTCCTTGCTGTGTCCAGACCATTCTCTTCTCCCCTGCTTTAATACTCAGCTCTTCACACACATGGCATGAGAATATAATCTTCTGTTGATGCACTGACTTCCTTACCATCTGATGTCTCCTCATTCACTTCTTCTCATCACTAATAACCCTGCCATTTAGGTGACATCATCATGACATAAACAATTTATACATGGGTTTGGCTTCTCAATTTCTTGACCTCCTCACTTTTGATGACCTTTTTAAGACTCCAATCTTTTTCATACACACTTTGATGATTCCAGACCACAGAATAAATAACAAATAAAACTTTCCAGCTCTAGTAGGTTTTACTCAGTGGATAGAGCATTGGCGTGTGGACTGAAAGGTCCTGGGTATGATTCCAGTCAAGGGTGCATGCTGGGCTTGAGGGCTCCATCCCCAGTAGGGGGCAGGAAGGAACCAATCAATTATTCTCTCTCATCATTGATATTTCTATCTTTCTCTCTCTCTCCCTTTCTCTCTGAAATCAATAAAAAATATATTTTTTAAAATAAAATAACTCTCCAAAATTTCTATTTCAAACATTCCATTATGCTACTCTATTGTCCTTTCTTTCCATCTCACTACTCAGCATTATTCCTCCTGTGATTTTTTTAGTCACTGACCTTCAGCCCAATTACCCAACAGCTTATAAACTTCTATGCTCTTTTTAAAAATTGATTTGAGAAAAGAAGGAAGAGGAATATCAATGATGGGGGAGAATCATCAATCATCTGCCTCTTGCATACCCCCTACTATGGATTGAGTCCACAACCTGGGCATGTGCCCTGATCTGGATCGAACCGTGACCTCCTGGTCCATAGGTCAATGCTCAACGACTAAGCCACATCAGCCAGGCTAAACTCTTATGTTCTTAATTCTCACATTGTCTAAACCAGGTATAAGGTTTAAGACCATAATGCCAACCCTGGTTAAATTCAGCTCCTTCAAGGCATTATGGATGGCAAAAGGGCAGTTCCTGAAACAGCCAACAGCATTTTTGCAATGATCACAACGCAGCCACATCACTGACAGAATTCTCTGATCTGATACTCATTGACAAGTATCCCATTGGGCCACCAGATGTGCACAGGGAAGTGTATAGGTCAAAAGGGTACTCTGCTTACATTTAAAAAATGCATTTCCTCTAACCTGGTGATCTGGTGGTATCTTCTTATTTAATATCATAAGCTTTGTAACCATATAATTATTAAATAATGAAGCTCAAAAAAATATATGATCCCATTTATGCAAAAACATTTATATGAATAAAGAAAGAAGGCAAATAGAGATGAATTCATCTCTACTGGCATGTAGGACTGTTCATATATTTTGTCAAATTTTAGATATTACAAGATAATGCATAGAGGATGTTTCTTCTTTTATAAAACAAAACGTATTTCTTTCATATATCCCATTTTTATTATAAATTCATATGAGCCAGGACAAATCTATGAATGTTCAAGTTCTTCTACTGGTAATTCAACAAAGTGACATTGGAAGGAGGACAGGGGTGATGCCTACCTTTGTGTTATATATAAATTTGTCTCACTTATTACCAAGGTAATTTGTAAAATATTACTCCCCAAAATTCTTTCAGGGGGTAGGAATTCTTTTTTTTTTTTTTTTTTAAGGAAAATTCTCAGATATAAAGAAAAGAAATGTGAAAAAGAGGAACAGTATAGGGTGGTAAAGGCTAGAGAAATAACTGGCATTTCTCACCAGAAAGAGCCCATGTGCTGGGGCCACATCCAGGATAGTTCTTCAGTGGATCTTCTGTAGAGAATTCATGTTCATCTTTGGGAGGAGGGCCTATGAGTAGTGACGGAGTGCAAAGTCACTGCCAAGCCACTCTCCCCTCTGTTCATCCCCACAAGGGCCCTCTCTGGGGGAAGCCTCCTCTTGCCCCACCCTGCCATGGCCGCCAGGCTCCTCTGCTCTGCCATCCTTTGTCTCCTGGGACTAGGTGAGTCCCCAGAAGGAAATATTCTGCATTTTAAAAATATTCCCAATTCTGATTCCTTTTATGTTCCTTATCTAATTCCCAAACTCTGTCCACTTCCTCAGGGCTCTCAGATGTTGGAGTCACCCAGACACCCAGGCACAAGGTGACAAAGATTGAACAAGAAGTAACCCTGAGTTGTAAGCCAATTTCTGGCCATGACAGCCTTTACTGGTACAGACAGACCTCACTACAGGGACTGAAGTTACTAGTGTATTTCCGTAATCAAGCTCCTATTGACGAGACAGGGATGCCCAAGGAACGATTCTCAGCTAATGCTAATGGATCATTCTCCACTCTGAAGATCCAGCCCACAGAAGCCGGGGACTCGGCCACGTACCTCTGTGCCAGCAGCTTAGCCACAGAGCTGCAGAGTCACCCCCTCCCTGTGCAGAAACCTTTCTATTTCCCCTTCCGGCCCCAGATATCCTCAGCAGTTTCCAGGCTCGCCTAAGTCAGAGAATGGGCCTATGGAAGACAAGAGCTGAATACACTGAAAATATCACATTAAGAAAAGTCATAAGAAGGGAATATGGGTTGGTTCCTTGCATTCCTCACAAATTTTCACAGAGAATGGCTAAATTCAAGGTTGAGGATTAATGTCACCCTTTGGGCTTCAAGTGATAAAATAAACTTTAAACTGTGCAGCTACTGTGCAAAGGCCATTATCTAGGCTGGATTATCTCAGTTCATGATTAGTGGTCCTGTCTTTGCCTTCATTATCAGAATGGTTAAATGGTACCAAGATATCCTCAGATCTTCTCAGACCTTTCCAATTTACCTTGTTTTCGGGCACATCCTCAGTAGGGGATGTGCAAGAGGCAGCTAATCGATGTTTCTCTCTCATCATGTTTCTAACTATCTATCCCTCTCTGTTTACCTTCCTCTCTGTAAAAAATCTATAAAATATATTTTTTTAAAGTTACACAACTATTACAATACCACAAAATTGCCCCAACCACACACACACACACACACACACACACACACACACCAATCCTAACCCCTGGGAACCTCTAATCTATTCTCCACATCCATAATGTCATTTTGAGAATGTTTTATGAATGGACTCATACAGGAGGTGATCTGTTTTCAGATTTTTATTTTTCACTCAGCATATTACCCTTGACATTTTTCTGAGTTGTTATATTTATCAATAATTCTTGTGTGTTTGTTTTATTGCTGAGTAGCATTCCATGGTATGGATGTACCAATCTGTTCAGCCACTCACTCATTGTAGAAATTTTTGGTTGTTTCTATTTTTTTTTTTTTTTTTTTTTTTTTTTACTATTACAAGTTAATTGGCTGTGTATACTAGTGAACACTTGTATATAAGATTCTGTGTGGACATCAATTCTCATTTCTCTGGGGTAAATTCATGCCCCAGAGTGAGATGTTGTTTGAGAAATATATTCTTTTTTTTTTTTTTTTTTTTAAGGAAACTACCCAATTATTTTTCAGCATGACTGTGCCATTTTACATTCCTAGAGATTCACTTTTAATAGCAGTAATTTCAATTTGCATGTAACATTCCATTTTTTCATTTCCAAAACACACATACAAATAACTAGAATAGAAACATGGTAGATCCAGACATGCTTTTCTTTGGACGTGTTTGAACTCTTCCTAAATATTTGAATTCTTTCTAACCCTTATCTAACTGGAAGTCTGTGGGTTCAATGCAAGCCATCACTGGCCACTGCTGTCTGAACACCATGTCACCTGTCCTAGAAAGCCACCTGGTTCATCAAGACAGCATCCAACGTACATCTTAATTAATTCACTTAATTAAACAAAAACATATATAGGTCATCTGTTACATTTCAGACACATTTTAAGGCCTTACATTTTGTTCTAAAAGGATAAAAATTATTGACCTGGCCACCATAATTAGGAAAGTAAGTTGCATTCTTTACTTTGGTCTACTTTTTTTTGTGAACATATGAGAAGATAATACCTATTTAAATGCAGAAACAGGTTAATGTTGTTGGCAACTTATTGGCATTGGTTCTTCACCCCTCAAAGGATAAACTTGTTCAGAAAAACTTTGCTCTTCCTTCTATGCTTCTTCCCCAGAGGGCGCTCCTGAGACAATAGACATTGGCTGGTATGGTGATGTCATTGCCAGGACACACCCTATAGCGCCAAGGGGACACAGATTTGCTCTCATTTTTGCTCATACTTACAAGTTCTGTCACCTGGAAAAGTTCTTACTTTTTTATTTGGATCCTGTCATGGTGTGCAGGCTTCTCAATTTAGTGTCACTTTGTCTCCTGGGACAAGTAAGTCCTTGTAAGTTTGAATATCTCTACTTTGCCTTTGCCCTGTCCACTCTTGCCATGCATTCTATGTTCTTGTCTTTTCCCACAGGACACACATCGGCTGCAGTCACTCAGTTTCCCAGCCACAGGCTTATAGGGAAGGAACAGACTGTGACTCTGAGATGTGACCCAATTTCTGGACATGAGATTCTTTTATGGTACCAACATGCCATGGGGAAAGAAATGACATTTCTGATCAACTTCCTGCGAGAGTATGTACAGGATAAATCAGGGATGCCTGCCAATCGGTTCTCAGCAGAGAAGATCGAAGGGACTAGATACATGCTTAAGCCCTCCTGTGTCTCACCTGATTGCTCAGATCTCCTTGGGCAATGTAGGAAGGCTATTCTAGAAACTTTTCTACTGGCCACAAGGAGGCATTATTGTGTCACCATAGCCAAAAGTTATAGAGGTTTTCCTTGATATGCTCTGAAAAGTGGTTAAAGATAGAGGAATTCCAAACTTGATTTCTGTATTAGGGTGGAACTGGTTGGCAGACATCTTTCATCCATCAATGACTGTAGATAATAAAACAAAGACATTATCTAAATAGGTTTATCAGCTAGACTGGAGCAAAAGCTATTCATGTATTGAGGAACCTCTGAACTTTTTTAGGATGTAAGTAAGGAGAAACGAGATGGAACTTGAATGAACAGGGGCAGATATAGGAAGGGGTACAGATAAGAAAACATCACATTTGCTTCATACCTGACCCAGCCAAGCCCAGACCCCTGCCTAGTAGACTGTGTATCATATCACAAGAAGGGATCATTGCCTTGGTGACATCAACATCAGCACTGTCATCACAGGTAGATCTGCCTATCAGAGACCATGGACTCAGAGCTCCCACCTCTCAAACCAGAGTCTGGAACATACAGATGCCCCATTCCTTTTCTGGCCCTGCCATGGGTCCCAGGCTTCTTCCATGTGTGGCCCTTTGTCTCCTTGGAGCACTGAGTCCTGGTTAGAAGCACATTTCTTATTAAAGCTATGAAGTCCTCAGTTCTGTGCCTTTCTTTTATGGCAGCAACATGAGTCTCCCTCTTGTCTATAAATGTTTCTTCTTTTTCTGCAGGTTACATGGGTGCTATGGTCACCCAGAACCCAAGATACCAGGTTATCAGGATGGGAAAACCAGTGACCCTGAATTGTGCTCAGGACCTAAACCATGATGTCATGTACTGGTATCAACAGATGCTGAGCCAAGCCCCAAAGCTGCTGTTCTACTACTATGATCAGGAATTTACCAATCAAACAGACACCTCGGATAACTTCCAACCCAGCCGGCCTAATGCTTCCTTCTGTTCTCTTGGTATCCGCTCACCAGGCTTGGGGGACTCCGCAGTGTATCTCTGTGCCAGCAGCAAGTACACAGAGCTAGAGTATTACCTCCTCTCTGCTCATAAACCTGTTTCCAGATCCAAGAGCCCTCTCTAGTAACCCCCTCCTCCCCCACACACACAACAGCAATAGGAAGTGGGTTATGGCTGTCATTATCTCCTTTGCAGATGGAAGTTGGGCCTAAACCTACAAAAACCATTGACGGTTATGCCAAGACTGGAAAGGTGGTTACCCTCACCTGACATTCAGTTTGTGGTGTTTTCCCAGAATCACTTTAATCACCCATTCTGTTCTCTTCAGAAAAATAATAACTTTTTTTATTGTGTTGTTTTTTTAATCTAAGTTGGAGATTTAGCAATATATTAAAGGGCAGGGCCTGGCAAGAAGTAAACCCCTCCCACAAATCCTCCCCCTAAGGAGAAAAATATGCCCTCATAGGTGTGTTGAGACCATCTCACAGGTTTCTTATCAAGTAAGGAGAATTAGAACTGCTGAGAACTTGTTCCAGATTGAGAGACATGTATTGCCTGGGGCATGCATTATTCATAATACTTCTAACTATTTTGTCTGATGTAAATCTATGAAGTATTTAAGTAGCACAGATAGGACTCATATCAAAAGCTAGATGTGGGGCTTTGTACGATATATTAAAATAATAGATACATTAAAATTACTAGAGTTTGCTCTATCTGCATTAACTAAGGGCCTCTAAGAATTAGATGCCAAGCCTGGGTTAGAAAATGCCTGTGAGAGAAAATGGGGAAAAAGCTGAGAGAACCATCAGATAATGATGCAAATCTGACCCTCATGAGGAGAGAGGGAAGGAGAAAAGGAGGGGGGAAAATAAGCCTGGTGTGGCTCAGTGATTGAGCATTGACTTATGAACCAAGGAGATTGTGATTCAATTCCTGGTCAGGGCATGGTCCCAACTGTGGGCTCAATCCCCAGTAGGGGTCGTGCAGGAGGTAGCAGATCAATGATTCTCTTTCATCACTGATGTTTCTATCTCTCCTCCCTTCTTCTCTGAAATCAATAAAAAAAAAAAAACATAATTAAAAAGGAAAAAGAAAAGAAAGAAACAATGAAGAAAGTAAAGGAGGATGTGGGTTGCAGTATAATCGTAAGAAATGGTCAATAAGGCCTGGCAGGACCTTAAGTCAAAGTCAAGCATGCCTGTGTCCTGCCTCTCTCCATGGACAGAACTCTGCCCCACAGCTCCAGAGTGGGGGGCAGGGACAGTGCCCTCTTCTCTTAGAGTTCCCTGCTCTCTCTGAGTGGGTGCTTGGGGCGGTATCTTCATACAAAGACTATTGAGTTCTATGAAGTGATCACGTATCTGAGGTTGATATTACCAAAACACTGAGAAATTCCTACTGATTTTATCTCAAACACATCTCCCCTGCAGTCTCTCCCCATTGATGTACCCCACACAGATGCGATGAGTTTCCTGTGGAACAACAGAATGCTCACTATAGCAGGTGTGTTACATCCTTTTACCACAGGGATGCCTCCTCATAAGACTGCCACTCCCCTCAGGGTAGTGATGAAATGGGAATAATTGTGAGAGTGCAGATAACACAAACCTCTCAAGGGGAAGGAAGAACAAACACTGATAAATGACCCTCACTCTGGGACTATTCCAGAAAATTCAAACCTCAAATCCTCACACAGCTGCCCAAAGAGCATGGACTTTTATTCCATAACTTGCTTCTTTCTTCAGGGCCACAGACACTGGAATCGAAGTCAGGAAAACTGCTTCCTAATCAACTCTGGATTTTAAAATTTTTATTTTATTTTTTAGCTGTAAGACAAGCGCTCTCAGCTCTCTGGGACTCAGTGTTTCTCCTTTTTAAATTATGAGACTTGCACTATTTGGTCTCTAGGGACCAACATGACTATTCTCAGGACAGAGCTCCGTCTTTCCCACCCGTGTGACCACCAGGGATTGCTGTGGAAGGCATGCCACGACCATCTGGCAATAACTGAGCATCCTGGATAAGTATATCACACAGATACTGAGAACATCTGGTTGGCAGACACATCGTATATCATTCCTGTACTTCTCAACATTGACACTGACTTGGAATGCAGTCATGTAAAATAAAATGGTATATATATATTAATTCCCTACAATCTCCCCCACTGCCACCAGATGGCAATAAAGGAGTGTGTCAGAAAGACTTTTCCCTGCACATTTGTAAGGCATCAAAAGCTTTACCATGGCTCTCCTGGTTCAGGCTTGCTGTCTTTGCATCATTATGAATAGTACCCTCCTTTCACATATTTTTTTAAAAATATATTTTATTGATTTTTTACAGAGAGAAAAAGGGATAGAGAGTTAGAAACATCTTTGAGAGAATCATCGATCAGCTGCTCTTGCACACCCTTTACTGGGGATGTGCCTGCAACCAAGGTACATGCCCTTGACCAGAATCGAACTTGGGACATTTCAGTCCTCAGGCCGATGCTCTATCCACTGAGCCAAATCAGTTTTGGCCTCTTTCACATATTAAAGGGCCCCAGTGTAGACAATAATCTGACCATTGTAGATTCCAACACAGGTTTTGCTGCCTGCATCTGTTGCATACTCATCACAATGTTTGATCTAGCTAAGACAGAGAGAGAAGGGTTGCTTTGGAACGCAGTAATGAGCAGTGGAGAGTAATCGAGTGGTGAGGCATCTGTCCTTATCTGACCCCTTTGACTGGTAAACAGCCAGAAGCTGATGGAACCATTCACAAATTGCTTGGTTAGATTCTTCTCATAAGCAGGGTTGCCTTGGGGCCTAAGTAACAACATCACCTCAGAGATGATGAGGAGACAACTCATGTCCCCACGTCTGTGTAACCATCGCTGTCCTGGCAGCCTGAGCACTAGTGACTCTAACAGTACCCAGGAACTGTCTCCTTGGGCCAGGCGTGGCCAACCAGTGATGGCATTTTCATCAAAAGCATTCGTGAGCAGCCCAGCTGGCTTGATTCAGTGGTTGAACTCAACCTATAAACCAGGGGTCACAGTTCAATTGCCCAGGTTGTGGGCTCGATTCCCAGTGTAGTATGTGCAAAAGGCAAATGATTCTTTCTCATCATTGATGTTTCTATCTCTCTCTCCCTCTTCCATTCTCTCTGAAACCAATAAAAATATGTTGTTTTAAAAAAGCATTTGTGAGAATTTGGAGTGTTTCCAGGAAAGATAACTGTGTTGACTCCAATTGTTATTGACAGCTGCATTTTGATTGAAGTATATATTTGGGAAAGCCTGCTGAATTCCTCCCAAAATAATGAGAGCTTTTCAGGGAGGCCTTGGGATCCTGCTATTAATAAGGCAAGGCCTTGAGCCATTACTTGGACACTAAAGGTTGACATGATCTTATTTATTACTCAAAGCTTATAGGATTCTAGATGTATATGTTGCATCTCCTCTGAGAGCCTGTAAATTCTAATAGAGTGCTTTGTTTTTCTTTGAATCTTCTTTTCACTATGCCTTCCTTTCACATAATTTTTATTCAATGTCACAGGTTAGAAAAGATGAAGGAAGACCCCCTCAAACATCAGTAACACATCATAATTAAAGAGAATAATACAAGAAGACAAATAGTACCTATGGACACAAGATGAGAGGGAGAGTTTGAATTTTGCTAATGTTTGTTCTTTAAAATAGATACTTATATTAAAAATGCTGCCTGGCTAGTGTTTCTCAGTGGTTAGAGCACCAATTCATATACCAAAGGGTCTTGGGTTTGATTCCTAGTCAAGGACAGGTACCTGGGTAGCAGGTTCGTCCCTGGCCCCAGTTGCAATGCATGTGAGAGGCAACCAGTCGATCTCTCTCTCACATTGATGTTTCTCTCTTTCTCTCTCTCCCTCCCTTCCACTCTTTCTAAAAATCAATAGAAAAAATATCCTCAAGTGAGAATAAACAACAACAATAAAAATTCCAATAGAATAACAAGAGATGAGAAAAATAAATTATAAACTATAAAATAAAGTTCCTCAAGATGTTTGAGATGACTGAGGTGAAGGAGGAAAGAAGGAAACTGAATCTGATTTTCCCTCAATGGTCTCCACTTTCCTGTGAATCTAGATATCGTATCTGGTCACTACCTCAGCTCAGCAACAGAAAATGGAAAGATAACCTGAGCCAATGAAAGGAAAATAAAGAAACAGAAGATAAGAAAAAATGGGGAGGGATATGGTAAAAATTAATCATTCCTAAACTAATGACCAATAATAAAGGTACTCATCTCTCTTGACTTTCCCTGCACAACATTAGCCCCATAGCAACACATACTAAGCAGGATGTTTGTATGATTCAGGGAAAAAGATGTCCCATTTAACTGATGTGCAAGATCACCTCTGCGGACAATAGGATCCATTAGAAATGGTGATGTCACAGGAAGACTCGCCTCATGGGAGGAGCTGTGAGGTCTAGCTCCCTGAGCTGCTGCAGGAAGCACCGTTCCTTGCTCTGCCCGTGAACTCCCCTCATGACAACTCAGCCATGGGAACCACACTCCGCTGCTGGGTGGTCGTCTGGCTCCTGTGGGCAGGTGAGTTCTGGGTAATGGGTCAGCACCATTGGCCTTTGGCTGTGCCTCAAATATGCTCTGATCTCCATGTTTCCCAAAGATTTTCTGGAAGGTATTGACATTTCTACAAAACAAATGCATTATGGAACAAAAAGCAAAATTCATGTGAATTTTTAAATGAACTTAGGAAACTTCAAAGCTATTTGCACTAGTCTTGGGGCTGCTTCATTGTGAGCTACAAACTTCCTCTGCCCTCAGGACTTAGTCTCATGCCATCTCTTCTCTTCTGAGGTCCCACGAGTCCCAGCAGCGTCACACAGAACCCAAGACACCTGGTCCTGGGGAGAGGACAGGAGGCAAATCTGACATGCCACCCGGTGGAAGGCCACATTTATGTCTACTGGTATCGGCAGCTCCTGCAGGAAGGGCCGAAATTCATGATTTACCTCCGGAGAGAAGAAATCCTGGACGAGTCAGGAATGCCAACAAAACGCTTTTCGGCTGACTTTCCCAAAGAGGGGCCCAGCCTCTTTAAGATCCAGCTGGCGGAGCTGGGCGACTCCGCAGTGTATTTCTGTGCCAGCTCCTCCTCCACACCAATTCAAAGTCACATCCTCCCAGGGCACAAACATCCTCCAGGCTTCGCCCTGGCACAGCCCCAGCTGCTGGGGGTGGGTCAGGGCCACAGCCAGGGAAGGGACTTGGCTTCTGACTACTGGACAAATTACTTGTGAAGCATTTTTAAGGGTGAGGGTGGGAATAGGGGAGGGCTGTAGAAATAGCAAGGAACTTCCCAGCCCCATTCACAAACTAAGACTGTCATTCACAAAAGGTGACATAATTTGTCAGATTAACTATTTATTGACTAACAGTTCTCCTTTCTTTACTTCATACTCTATTTCAAGTTCTCTGTTGAGTGCTATAAATGTTGAATTTTAGTGAAAAAGCAAGATAATCAACCAAAGGAAATGTGGTCTTCATTTTCAATATGAGAAAACATGGTTCCAGGGTTGTTGTTGTCATTCTCAAACTAGGAGAGAGGGAGAGGGAGAAGGAGCCAGGAAGGGGAGGGAAGAGGGAGGAGGAGGGAAAGGGAGGAAAAAGGGAGAGGGAGGGGAAGGGGGATGGAGGGGAGGCAGGAGAGAGAAGGGAATGGGAGGGGGAGAGGGAGGGAGAGGGGAGGGGAGGAAATAAACCCAGGTTTGTGTGACTCAAAGGACTGCGCTTTTAAAACAGCCTCTGATTCTTTCTGGAATCATCCTGGTTTTGTTGCCTAACACCTGGGTAGCTGTGTGTGGATGCTGGGACTTAAAGCTCCAGCTGTAGGCTATCCCAGAGATGGTGAAAGTAGAGTTGAATACATTTGCCTGGAATTTGGAAGGTAAGTCATTAGAAACCTATTATCTAAACCACATGTGTCAAACACAAGGCGCGCGGGCCAAATCCGTCCCGCCAGGCCTTGCAATGTGGCCCGCACCGCGCTGTCATCACTGCACTCCGCTGCGTTTCCATCACAATGACAGTTTATGACTGTTCAGTAAACCATTCGGCCCACGATTTAGGCTGGATTTTAGATTTTGGCCCCTTCTCTGATTGAGTTCGACACCCCTAATCTAAACTCTTTGTTATCTCATTGAATATATTTTTAAATCTCACCACTCAAGAAATGTTGGGCACACAGAGAATAGTGTTTCTTTTCATTTGCTTTGGTGAAACAATTTCATAAAATCAACAGGCAGATGAATGCAAAGTCATTTCAAGTGCATACATACCAAAGGAGTCCACCCTCACCAGGAGAGGTTACACACCAGGTCATTTGGCTATGTTTCCTGCCTTTTAATTTTCTGAAATTATTTCACACTGTGATTTTTCTCCTCTCTGCCAGGGGCACAGAGAGGGGCAATGACTACGCTGAGGAGGGTTGAAGAGACCCCAGGAGGACCCCCTTCACTTCCCCCCCACCCCCATAAATCAGACCTGAGCTGAACAGGAGAGAGGAGGACATAAGCTCTCACTCCATTTAAAGTGCCAGGGATGGGATTTAAGAGAAGATCATCTGAATATTAAGTTTCTGAGGGAGAAAAAAAAAAAAGTCAAAAGGGAAGAAAGAAAGGTCCTCTGACCACTGGATAGCGAAGAAAAGAAAGAAAAAATAGGGGAAAGTTTAGAGTCCTTCAAAACAAGAGAAAATTATGAAATAAGAAGAACCCCCCCCCCCCCCAATGAAAACCAAATTTACTGAAGCGACCAGAATTTTCCAGGACAATGGAAAAGGATCCCATTAAGCTGGGTATATTGTAAACACCCCAACATTATGAAAATGAACAAAAGGAACATAACATCCATAGGAAAGAGGAAAAAAAATCTCACCTTCCACTTGTCTCCCCCGAAAAGCAATCATGCGTCAAAAGACAAAATAACATTTCCACTCCAAACAAATATATGCAAGCAAGCCGTTAGATAAGATAACCTAAGCCAGAAGTTCAAAAATTATGAACAGAAATGTCAAAAACAGGGAGAAACAAAAAGAAATGAAATTAGCAAACTTATCTAAGAAATGAAAAATCCATTAAAAGATACTCAAGGAGCACTCACATGGAAGTTCGCTAGGGCATTGAAGAGAAACAGGGAACTTCTGAGAGAATAAAAATGACAATAGTAAAACCAGCTAGAGAGAAGGTTCTCGAAAGAAAGGGGGCCTTGGCGTGAATGCAGGATGGACTAGAGCAGAATGGCATTCATGGTGCAATGGGATTAAAAATGAAATCCACATTCTCGAGTGACCAGTGTCTACAGGGCTGCTGTAGCGATCAAACCCTACCATGACTAGGAAGGAATCACCAGCTGGCCAATCGGAGTGAGACTCAGCTGGGGGCCAGCCCACTCAGGCCAGATAGAGTCAGATGTTAGGGAGAAAGGCACAAGGGGGAATGGGGTGCAAGTAATTCAGGTCTCCATTCTGTCTCATCTGAAAAATTAGGAAGCCAGTCCTGGATATCTCCAGGATCCCTTCCCACTACCCATTCTAGCCTTCTGGCAAATTCTGCACACAGACTCAGGGGATCCCCAGAGCTAAGTTTCTTGCCTCATTTGTCTTCCTGCAAGTGGTTGGAGCTCAAGCAGAACCCCTTCCCACCATGGGCAGCCAGATGCTGTGCTGCTTGGCTCTTTGTCTCCTGGGAGCAGGTGAGTCTAGGGCTCAGGGAGCAAATTCCTGTCCCGAAGGTGCCAACCTCCAGATCTAAGCCTTTCCCTCAAACAGCAGTCTAGGCACCCTCTTGGGCTTTGTTTCCAGAACTTTTCTTTTTCTTCCATAGGCACAGTGCATAGTGGCGTCACTCAGACACCAAAATACCTGCTCAGAGAGGAAGGACGAGATGTGACCCTGGACTGTGAACAGAACTTGAATCATGACTCCATGTACTGGTATCGACAGGACCCAGGGCAAGGGCTGAGGCTGATCTACTTTTCACGAATTGTGAAGAATGTTGAGCCGGGAGACCTGGCTGAGGGCTACCGTGCCTCTCGGGAGAAGAAGCCGCTCTTTCCCCTCACTGTGACATCCACCCAAAAGAACCAGACAGCTGTGTATCTCTGTGCCAGCAGTGCAGACACAGTGGAGCACGGCCACCTCCCCTCTGTGCACAAATGTGTCTGAGCCCTGCTTCACTGCCAGATGGCACGGTCCTCAATACCTAGCCTTGCCCACTTTTTTTTCCACCTCAATCAGCCACTCAAAGCAGCTGCTGCCATCACCATGCTGTGTGGAATGGCACGCTACTTCAGTGATCCACTGGGTAGGCTTTAAAAACTATATCTATCTATCATCTATTTACCATCTATTTATTTGTATCATGGAGAGAGAGAGAGAGAGAGAGAGAGAGAGAGAGAGAGAGAGAGATGAAACAGTTGCCTATGGCATGCGCCCCAACAGGGGACTGAACTCAAAACCTGGGGGCATGTGCAGGAATCAAACCAGGGACCTTTTGGTGCATGGGATGGGGCTCAACCAATGAGCAATACCAGCTAGGGCAAACCTTACTTGATTTTAAAATGACCACTGTAAAACTCTTGTCTGTGCACTTAAAATTTGTGCAGTCTATTATAGTATCTCAATCATCTACTTTTTCCTGATACTAAAAATCACTCTTTAGCTGTGAAGTTTTCTAATAGTCCCCAGTCCCATGATCAAGTTGTAAGAGTTGTTGTAGTAAATGAAAGTCAAAAAAGTTAAAATATCACTAAATGTTTCCATGATAAGTTATGAAAGCCATCACATCTATTAATCTGAAATAATATTATAGAAAAATATAATCAAAGAGTGATAATGTTTTTTTTAGGTACAAGAAACATAATTTCTAAATTCAGAAATATTCTAAAAGTAATCAGGAGTAAATTAGACAAGTCAGAAAGCTAATCTGTAATTATATATTAACTAAAAGTCAAGAAATAATTCAGAATTCTGAGGAAACAGAAGAGGATGTGAGAAGAACATACCATCCCAGCAACTTTATTCACCATGACCTCAAACTGCAAAACACTCAAATGTGCATCAATAATGCAATAGAGCAACAGTGTTATATTTATCCAATAGAACAAAATACAGCAAAACTTTAGATACTATTTTCAACATCATCGATAGATGAATCTCGTAAACATAATGTTGAACAAAAGAAGCCAAACACAAGAGCACACACTAAAAGGTAAACAAGCATGAGTTGTCTTAGTGGCTGGGCTCGGCCTCCCAATAATAAATACTGTGGCTGGTTATTATTGTGGTTCTTATTATGATTGCAAGACATCCTCACAAGATCCCTCAGGAAACATTGAAAAGACACAAGTTTATTGACTCGGCACACATGGGCCAGAGGCTCAGCTTTTAATGGTGTAGAGAGTAGGGGTCTAGTATTTCATGGGCTCACTATTGTTGAATTTAAAACGTAAGATCAGCCGAAGCCGGTTTGGGTCAGTGGTAGAGCGTCAGTCTGCGGACTGAAAGGTCCCAGGTTCGATTCCAGTCAAGGGCATGTACCGTGGTTGCGGGCACATCCCCAGTAGAGGGTGTGCAAGAGGCAGCTGGACGATGTTTCTCTCTCATCGACGTTTCTAGCTCTCTATCCCTCTCCCTTCCTCTCTGTAAAATATCAATAAAATATATTAAATAAATAAATAAAATGTAAGAGCAGGAACTTAAAGTACAGGAAGCTCAAAGTGGTCAATTACTGAAATCCACCCAGAGTCTGGGGCTGGGGGGCTAGAGGGAAGGAGAAGCTGCCTGTTGCCTAGCCCCTGTGTCTGGCCATGTGTTATTCAGGATAGCCAAATTTGGAGTAGACGACTCAGCAATCAAAGTTTAGGCAAGTATTTGCATTATAAAGAAGAAAAACCAAAGGTCAGGACTTAACATTAGTCACTTTGAGGATATGACACAGAAGTAAAGAACTGACCATAATGCCCTTTATGACACAAACATACACCCCCCTTCTTATATAAGTCTAAAATACCCGTTTAAGTCCTTTAAATGATGTAGGTCTCAGGGTATCTTCTATAAAATTAGGAGTCGAATGAGAACATTTCCAAGGCCCCTTTCAGCAGTGTGTGTATGGTTCTCTGATAGGGAGAAAGAGCAAGGGATCTTGCATCATTGGCACAGGTCCCCACCAGGGGGCAGAAGAGAACATTTTTGGGATTATGTAACATCCACCCCAGGGGTGTAGAAAGGAAGAAAGATGAAGAGCTGGTCACACCTCTTAAGAGCCCTGAGGTGTGAGGCCAGCACCTGAAGATGCTACTGCTTCTGCTGCTTCTGGGGTCCAGTATGAGCCTTATTATCTGAGTAGCGTGGATGAGTGTGTGTGGGTGTTGGCATGAGTGAAGTGGTGGCCAGAGGTTGTGGATTTTTTGTGCTGATCATAATGAGAGGAGCCACCCACTGTGGAGTGGAAACAGTAAAGTGAGAAGCCACCAGTCAGAGCAGATTGGGGGTAGGTTGGGGGGTTTATGATCCAAGGAGTCTAACAGAAAGATTTTACAAAAGAAACAGGTCTCTGGGAGCTGGAAGAAAGGCATGAGTCCCTGCCTGAGGTCACGTGGGGCTGGTCCTGCTGGCATCCTTCATCTCTCTGACCTCTGTTTCAACAGGATCCGGCCTTGGTGCTCACGTCTCTCAACATCCAAGCAGGGCCATCTGTACCAGCGGAGCCCCTGTGAAGATCCAGTGCCATTCTATAGACCTTCAGGCCTCAACTATATTTTGGTATCATCAGTTACCCAAACAGGGCCTCATACTGATGGCGACTTCTAATATGGGCTCCCCAGTCACATACGAACAAGGTTTTACTGAGGCCAAGTTTCCTATCAGCCATCCAAACCTAACATTCTCAAGTCTGACGGTGACAAGTGCCCATCCTGCAGATAGCAGCCTCTACCTCTGCGGTGCTAGTGACACAGCGCTGGGCAGAGATCAGAGGACCAACCAAGAACCTTTGCCCCTCTTCCCCACCCGCCGAAGCTGTGGAGTCCTGTGGAAGGTGTGGAGAGAGAAAAACCACAGCTCCTCTGACGGAGACATCTGTGTGTAGAGAGAGAGTGAGGGGTGGGGGAAGGAGAGAGAAAGAATCTGAGTATGGAAAGGGGGCTGAGCCAATAAAATGGCCAATTGACATGAAAAAATTACATTAGTCATTTGAAAATTATAAAACCTGGATTTTTTTTTCCTAATTCTGCCATATGCTAATCACATGCTCTTAGATCTGCACATAATCCTCTAGCTAGATTTCAAAATGCTCCTATAAAACACTGTATTTTCTATCATATTGGCATTTGGCTCCCTAAGACCATTCAGCACCATCTTGTCACCACTGTAGGCCCTTGAGGTAAAGAGTCGTAAGCCAAGCAGAGAGATTCACTCATGAAAGAAGTTGATGATGCACAGTACGTAGTGTTTTGACTAATGAGTGACCAGGGTAAGACTGGGTACAAAGAAAGGCATGTGTCCTCTATATCTACGTGCAGAACCTTCATAGCTAAGGTGTTGGTTGAACTGGCTCTTGAGAAAGGTGTGAAAGGGAGGAGAGAGCAGAGAGAGTGTATAAAAAAGTTTAGACCAACATGGCTTGTTGACAGAGCTAGAAAGTTCTATCAGAAGCTATGAAAAAATAAGTGGAGCAGTGAGTGTAAGCCCTTCAGAAAAATTCTTTCCTAGAAAAAAAAATTGCATCGACCACAAATTTTGTATGAACAAATAAAAATAAGCAAAATATAGTAATATCCGTTTAATAGAAGAAATATCTATGACCAGTAAAGAGATGAGGACATAATTAACTTCACTGGGGATCAGTAAAATGTGAACTAAGGCACAATGATATGTAAGTTTATATCCATTTGATTAACAAAAAAATGAAAAATCTTAAAAATATAAACTGTTAGAGAGAGTATGGAGCCACAGGATTACTGGTGGAAGCATAAGAGATACAAATAATTTGGAAACACTTTGCCGTTATCTCATATAGCTGATGATTCCTATATTCCATGACCCAGAAATTCCACTAAATCTAGAGAGGTAGTCATGCAATGGAAAACCATACATACCAGTCAAAATGAGTGAACTACAGTGGTGAGCAATGTTATAGGTGAATCTTAGCTATGCAATATAAATTATCAGGGCAAAAACCATGATAAGATTATGTAAACTATGATGCACTTTTTATAAAGCTAAAACAATTAAATTAAGAAAATAATTTTCATGAATGCACATATATTCAATAGAATTATATTAAAAGCAAGAAGCAGTTATTGTGAAACTGCCTTTTAATCAGCTCATAGTTGCTGATTATACACATTTCTGCCAACTCCAATTTCAGTGACATGTTTTAAGTCAATGGGCTGTAGTGGCAATATTTATACCATGGCAAACAACAGACACAGCAAGTCAGGTATTGTTTTATTTCCTCTAGAGATCTGGTTATTATACATTTGCTAACACACACTGGCAAGGAATGATGATGATGACACAAATTCAGGATGGTGTTTAAAAGGTCTTGGCTGGGGAGTGGCAGGTGGGATGGAGAGAACCACATAGTTAAATTTAAATGTTGTCAAGGTCTACCTTACGTGTTGCTGGACGAGTTAGAGGGAAATGTTTGATAAGCTCCTATTATATTTTTAAACAAAGGATAACCATCAACAATAAGGCCTGTGTGTTATGAACCAAGGGTTATGGTTAATCAAACTACATATAAGTGAGATAATAAAAAAAAGGAGAAAAACTAAAACAAATACCAGAATGAATTAGAATTTGTGAAAGATTAGGATAAAGAACATTGTGTACTGAGAACCAGGGAGTAGATGCTGAGAACCACATGTAAAAAAGAAGGTGTAGAAATAAGACCTTGCTTCTGACCTACGTAGAACTGAACAGAATAAGATGGGAACCAATTCAGCAACAGGCATGCTGCCACCTTATAGCTGCATGATGACCATGTTCATTTTGTTCCTGGTGATTAAATACCCACATGGTTTCAGTCTCCTCGCCTCAGATTATGCTCATTGCCACTGAAACCTGGGTCCCATTTTAATTGAAGTCCCCTACTCTGTTGGCATTTTCAGCTGAAAGAAGAAAGCTAGTGAAATATTTAGATAATCCCACTGCTTTTTTTTCACCAATGGCAAGGGAAAGATAAGAGCATTCTAGATTCTGGCATGAAACATGCCAGTGATAACACACCCCTCTATCAGTCATTTATTTCCCTCTTCTGCATTAGGCTTACGGGTATGATATTCCCATGTCAGGTAGTGCAGATGGATGCTGTGTGCAAACTCGCATCTTCTAATCCATCTGACTGCTAAGGACACAGCCCGCTGCCCAGATGTGTTATCTTAGGGAAATATGGCAATAGCACTGAATGTTACCTAATCCAAATTTGTGTCCCATCCTCTGTGGACTAGTACCACCAAAATAAAAACCCACATGGTATAAGTCAGTGGTCGGCAAACTCATTAGTAAACAGAGCCAAATATCAACAGTACAACGATTGAAATTTCTTTTGAGAGCCAATTTTTTAAAACTTAAACTTCTTCTAATGCCACTTCTTCAAAATTGACTTGCCTGGGCCATGGTATTTTGTGGAAGAGCCACACTCAAGGGGCCAAAGAGCCACATGTGGCTTGTGAGCCACAGTTTGCCAACCATGGGTATAAATGACCAATTCTTTTAAAGTGTAGCACTTTCTTTTTGTGCTCTGGGTTTATATTCTATTCCCTAGAATAGGTTGTATTTGAAATCAAGTTAACCTTTGTAATGGATGGCAGATGTAGTAAGAGATAGACTCTTTTTTTCCACCTCACTGAAGGACATGGAGAGGAGAGGAAGGAGTAGAAGAAGGAGAAGAAGGAAGAGGAGGAGGAGGAGGAGGAGGAGGAGGAGGAGGAGGAGGAGGAGGAGGAGGGGGGGGAGGAAGAGAGGAGAGAGAGAGAAATAGCGATGTGAGAAAGAAATAATCACTTGGTTGCCTTCTGTAGATGCCCTGATTGGGGATTGAACCTCAACCCAGGTATGTGCCCTGACAGGGAATCAAACCAGCAATCTTTTGGTGCACAGAATGATCCTCAACCAACTTGAGCCAAGCAAGGCTCTGTCTCCAGCTTCCCAACACACTCACACATGCTTATGCACAGGAACACACACACACACACACACACACACACACACACACACTCATTTAACAGAGGCACATCCTTAAAAAGAGCTGGAATTAATTAAATTGAATGGGGGATAGCTCATGGTTGGGAGATCCAGTGCAAATGATTCAGGCAGGAAAGAAATTTGTGTGCTTAATGAAAGGAATGATGTAGTCATGTGGCAGGAGCAAAGAGTGAGGAAGGAGGCGAGTACAGTGAAATGGGATACAAGTAGGCAGACATTACACATCAGACCACTCATGACCTTATCAAAGTACATAATGTGGAATTAAACATAAAATTTAATACCGTGTTTCGCGGAAAATAAGACATCCTTCGAAAATAAGACCTAGTGCATGGAAAGATAAGACATCCCCTGAAAATAAGACCTAGCACAACTTTGGGAGAAAAAATTAATATAAGACACTGTCTTATTTTTGGGGAAACAGGGTAGGCGTCATTGAGGGTTTTTTTTCCACAGACTTTTAAAGAGAAGTTTTAGGTTCACAGCAAAATTGAGCAGAAGATACAGAGAATTCTCATATACCCTTTGACCTGCCATTGAGTGTTTAAGCATTTGACTTCTGTAGTAATCAGATTAGTGTCTGTTGTTATTTTTTGTGTGTGCATGCACATGCACGTTTTCAATTGTCCTACAGTGTGGCTAGGACAATGGTGGCTAGAAAAGGTTGAAAAGGCACATTATACTGATCAGTCATCAATCAATACTAGATGAATAACTGAGTGATTGAGTGACTAATTACTAGTAACAATTCTATCCACTACGCACAGGTTAATACACCAAGGACTGCTTGTTCTCTAATTCTGCTCTGGTACCCAAGGCACCTGACTGCTGCTTCACTCAGCAATTCAGGGAAGGTGAAGGCAGTTAAGAGATCAGAGGATATCGGATGAATTTGACTACTAGGGGGTGATGTGGACATTTCTGTGAAATACCCTACCTAAGAGCAGGCACAGATCTTCCCTCATAGGAAGGCATTGTTAGAAATTTCAGGTACCTTAGGTGAGAAAGTGTGTACACCAATGCAATGGTGGATGATAAATTCTACTGAATGAGTAAAATGGAGTGCTACATATTACTAAAAATTAATTATCTAAAATTATATGTATCATTTTAATTTCACAGAGCATTGAATGAAAAATGAACATGTCACCCCCCCCCAAAAAAAAAAAGTGAACAGAAGGATCCCTCTTAGAGAAATTTCAAAGACACACAGCATTAAATAATATATAATTTATAGACTTTCACACAAGTCCTAAAACCTGTAATGAAAAAAAAGTGAATGCTAATACAAACTTCAGGGTTATGGATACCTGGGAATGGCGAAGAAAGAACAATGATATCTGAAAGAATAAAACAGGCTTAAAAATGGTTAGCAGGAATCTATTTCCTAAGCTGGTTGGTTCAGGGAAGCATGCTCATTTTATTGTTTCCCTAGATGCACTGCATATTTGCCATACACATATATTTTTGTCTATTCAACATTTAACGTTTTCATGTAAGAAGCTGCTACATGGTTTCATAGTACAGTAAAAGTTATGATTTATATACACCAAGTTGTATGACTTATACTCTGAAGTGGAAGGGAAAAGGGGGAGGCAAATTGACAGGTTAAACAGGTAAAAAAAAATAAATGATGAATAAGCGATTTTGTAACAAAAGTAGTGAAAGAGCAGAGTAGGGGGTGAAGAAGATAATGGCAGCTTGGAATTCACACTGGTTGTTTTCAGCAGCTCTCGCTGCCTCCACTTCCTCTGAAAGGTTTTGGTCTCATGCCCTTGGGGACTCTGACACGTACGGGAAGCAAGCATGTCACAAGGAGGCTGCCGAGGAGGGAAGGCCACCTGCCCCTGCTCTTTTCCTGCAACAGCCATGCACCTAACACTTCTCTGCTGCGTGGCCCTCTGTGTCTGGGGAGCAGGTAGGTTCCTGCTGTGAACTTGTCAGATTCCAGGGCCAGGCCTTTCTCCTGGTGCCCGCCATGTCAGGCTGCCTCACAGACTACTCCACCCTCTATCTCTTCCCCCACAGGCTCCGTGGACCCTGAGGTCACCCAGGATCCTGGACATCTGGTCAAAGGAAAAGGACAGAAAGCGAAGATGACTTGTGTCCCCATAAAAGGACATAATTATGTTTATTGGTATCGTCGGAAGCTGGGAGAAGAGCTCAAGTTTATGGTTTATCTACAGAATGAAAAAATTATTGAGAAAACGGACATGATCAATGAGCGGTGTTCAGCTCAATGCCCCACAAACTTCCCGTGCCGCCTGGAAATACAGTCCACGGAGCCAGGGGACTCAGCTTTGTACTTCTGTGCCAGCAGCCAATCCACAGTGCTGAATGTCAGCTTTTCTTAGAACACAAACTCAACGTGGACTCAGCTCAGGAAATGAGTGGTGTATAGATGGGTAGGGATGAACAGAAACCCAACTCAAAAGAGCATACACTAGAAGGAAAAAAATTGTAAGTGACAATTCTAAGTGAGCAGCAAAGGATGTTGAATGCAGCTGATGGGGACTGAAATCCAAGGAAGAAGAAGGACTTTGGAAAGGGAGCTCAGGTTAAGGGAAGACCCAAGATACCTTCTATACCCATGAAATGGATGGGTTTCTAACAGTCTTTATAAAAACATGTAATTCTGTGGTTTTCACTTGGCAAAACTGTACCTTCAGAAATAAGGATTAGGCAGGTCAACTGTTTCTCATTTGAGCCTGGTCACCTGACCCAGCACACTCCATGGACCCAGAGCCACTTTACGGGTTTCATGATGTTCTCACAACCATCTCTGCCATAGAAAATTAGTGGAAACTCAGAAATTCTGTTCTTGGAATGCTCAATCATGCAGCTTTTCCTATTTTATCTTTTCATGCAACTTTTAAAAGCAACATACCATACACACAACATACCACTTTATGTTCCTATATATTTCAATACATTTTGACAAATTTTTACAGCCATGTAACCAGCATGACAGTCAAAATAAAGAAAATTTTCCTCTCCTAGTATTGAGTCAGAGATCTTTGCGTACATTACAGGTGGTAAGAAAGTTGCAGGCAGTTTCTTATCACAGCACATAGACTAAATATCATTTATTTGAAGTCATGGCAATTTTTAGACTCACCAAGATATATTTTATTGAATAAATTTTAAAGATGAACACATATTCATATACTATACATTTCTTTTAAAATATTTTCATAACTGCATTTCACAACAATTGGTTTCCTTTGTACTACTATGTGTTCCATTTTATGAGTTTAAAATATTATTCTGAGAAGGAGTTTTTGGGATTTGCCAGACTGCCAGAGGGGGTCCATAGTACCAACAAAGTTAAGATCCCCTGGATGAGGAATGAGATCCTCAACTTTGCAGCTGTGACTGAAAACCTGAAGCCTTGCCCCAATCACGTTGGGAGCATTCTTTCCCAGAGTTCTGTCCACACTGCTAACAATTCTCATTCTAAATCATTACATCATTCTCTTCCTCCCTCTCTTTACTCTCTCTCTGTCTCTCTGTCTCTCTGTCTCTCTCTCTCTCTCTCTCTCTCTCTCTCTCTCTCTCTCTCTCTCTTTCTCTCTTTCTCTCCTCCCCTCTCCCTCCTCCCTTTCTGCCAGGAGGGGGCAGCAACAGTTCACCAGTTTCTGAGCAAACAGATTCCAACCACAAATCGCAAATTTCATCATGAAAGTGTCTTTTATCTCAGATGATCTCAGACCTAAAAACAAAACAAATGCTTATCTGTCCAAATAACAACATCCATTAATAAAGTCACACTCATTGTGTGCATTTCAATTCAATGCTGGGAAATGATGTTTTACTTAGCTGGTGCAATCCTATGTCAGTAAATGTCTGGTTTTCCTTGACGTGGGGTTAACTTCTTAAGTCCTGTGCATTAGAATGCTAGGTCCAGAAAATGATCATCACAAACACGGTGTTTATTGTGCCTTACGAAATGTTCTGAATTTTTTATTTGTATGATGTTCACAACGTTAGTATATCTCTTAAAGCAAATACTCATTATCTTCATTTCACAGATGAGAAAATAAAGTCAAATGGAGATTAGGAGACCTGCCCAAGGTGACATAGTTGCTAAATGGCAGCTTTGGGACTCAAACCCAGGTGGTTTCCCAAACCCCTGCTCTAATCCATCGCCCCCACGGTAGGGTGTGTTTAGAGTCCTTCTCCATTGCTGAAATTACTGGAGCAGCCTTCACCTCATCTCTACAGTGTCAATTATAATAAACACAGATGGTGAAAAGAATTGGCTTATTTTACAGCAACAGAACATCTGACCCTCTTCTTGTGATTGGAGCTCCCCACCTACCAATGTTGGAGGGCTATAGCAGTGGATGGATGAGTAATTGATTCTAACTGTGTAGTATTTCTCTAGTTCTCAAAACAGTGCGCATTCTGAGTGTGATTCTGACCAGGAAATGGGAATCTCGTTTTCTGACCACATGGACACTTGTCCATTTAGGATGGATTTGGAGAACTCTAGACAGAAGACAACTGGCTTGATCTCTCTGAGCTTTACTCATCCCACCTGCAGAATCAGCTGTGACTATCGTTTCCCAGCAAGGACAAATTTTGCGTGTTGAACCAGGGGGAGCCCTAGATCCCAGCCTCTTCCCTAAGCCTCTCTGAGTCTCTGTCTGGAGCTTCACAAACATCCTGTCCCTGCCATGGGCAGCAGGGCCCCTGCTACATGGCCCTTTGTCTCCTGGGAGCAGGTGAGTGCAACACCTGCCCAGTCCATAGAATCCTGTCCTGGGTGTGCACACATCCCTCCAGCACCTTCTTCTCACAGCAGCATTGGGCCCCTTGTGGGCCTTGTCTACAGCCTTTGTATCCTCACTCCACAGAATCCATGCGTGCTGAAATCTACCAGGTGCCTCCATTCCGCCTCGCTGGGGCTGGACGGGATGTGACCCTGGATTGTGAACAGAATTTGAGGTACAATGCCATGTACTGGTACTGGCAGGACCCAGGAGAAGGTCTGAGGCTGATTTATTACTCAACAGTTGAAAAGGATGTTCAGAGAGGAGACATAGCTGAAGGTTACAATGTCTCTCGAGAGCAGAAGGGGCTGTTTCCTCTCACTGTGAGGTTGGCCCATACCAACCAGTAGGCCGTGTACTTGTGCTCTGGTAGCGCACCACAGGGGGGCACAGACACTGCCCGCCTGTGCACAAACCTGCTGCAGCCTGCAGCCCCCACTACAGCCTCTGTTTCGATTTTTAAAATATGTCCATCTGTTAAGTATCCTTCCCTAAACTCTCAGAATTCTTAACCAAGCAATCAGGAGAACAGACCCAGAGGGCACACTTTAGTCTTTGTGCTTCCAGTCCTTTAATAACACCCTTTCTACCTATCTATCCCTTTTCTTGAGATTTTACTAGGTCCTGCCACATTTTCAAATATGAAGGATACAAAATGAAATAGAAAACAGATTTTTTTTCTCCAAGGAGCTAGCAGTATAGGAAGATAGTAATTACAATAGAATAAACTATAATATAATTCACTATACTATCAAATCATATCATAATATAACAACATAAGGTAATATAATACTATAGTCAGTTCTTTCAGCCCTTGGGGAAGGGCATGCCGAGTCTGTCTGGTTGGATTAGAGAAAGCTAAGAGAGGGTTACATTTGAGCTCCACCAGATGGACCTGGCTGTGGGTAGGGCATTCTGGACAAAGAACAATTTCTGCAAAGGCATATTAAAGAGAGTGACACTTTAGAAAACAAAAGAGGGAGCTGATAAAGAGAATGTTGGCTTGTCTAATGTTGGTGTTTCTAAGAAAATGAGAGGGGAAAAAGGTAACCCTAACAGGAAAAACCACAAACACTTCTTGAGTAAGAGGGAGAAGTAGAGGAAAGGTTAGATGTTACTTGAGTCTAGAGCACATGTGTCAAACACAAGGCCCGCGGGCCAAATCCGTCCCGCCAGGCCTTGCAATGTGGCCCGCACCGCGCTGTCATCACTGTACTCCGCTGCGTTTCCATCACAATGACAGTTTATGACTGTTCAGTAAACCATTCGGCCCGCGATTTAGGCTGGATTTTAGATTTTGGCCCCTTCTCTGATTGAGTTCGACACCCCTAGTCTAGAGAATAAGACCTTTGGCATTGCAGTAAACTCATAGATGTATAAGGCCTTATTGATAGTCATAAGGAAGGCTTTGATAAGTGAAAGAAGATTCTATCTTTACAAATTGGACAAACTTGATGTTTCTAAAATGTCCCCTTTTCCAAATTGATTTATACATCTATATAATAAAAGCCTTAGTGACCATTATGGCAGAACGACCAGAATGACTGGTCGCTATGATGTGCACTGACCACCAGGGGCAGATGCTTAACACAGGAGCTGCCCCCTAGTGGTCAGTACACTCCCACAGGGGGAGCAGCCGCTTAGCCAGAAGCCAGGCTCACTACTGGTGAGCAGAGTGGCAGTGGCGGGAGCCTCACCCACCTCCGCTGCAGCACTGAGAAGCAACAAGGTGAGCAATAACGAGTGAGGGATCCCAGATTGCAAGAGGGATGCCCAACGGCCAGCTTAGCCCCGGGTTGAACCTAAGCCAGCAGTTGAACATTCCCTGAGAGGTCCCGGACTTTGAGACAGCGCAGGCCAGGCTGAGGGGACACCCCCCTAGTGCATGAATTTCATGCACTAGGCCTCCAGTTTAATATAATTCAATCAAAATCCCAACAGGTTTTTGATAGAACTTGATAAGCTAAGTCTAAAATTTATTTTATGCAGCAAAAAGCCAAGAACTAAATGGGAGGATCTAACAAATGCCAATAATTACTATAAAACCACAATAATAATAGTATAGCATAGGAACAGTGATATATAAATTGATTCATTGGGGGGAAAAACATGTATATATACATACAGAGAGAGGTGGTATTACAGAAGTCAAAGAAAAACTTTCAACAAGTGTTCCAACTATAATATATTCAAAATTAGTTCCAGCTATATTAGAAACATAACTGTAAGAAGCAACAAAGCTTTAAGAATATACTTTAGGAGTATATATTTAAAATGCCAAAGAAGAGAAGGATTTCTTAATATTCTCAAACAGTAAAAAACTGATTAATAAAAATTATTACATCAAAATCTAGTTATGTATTTCATTCATCAGTGTTAACCATGTAAGAATGGAAAGATTAGCTATGTAGTAAGATGTGATTATATATGCATATTTATATCCATATCTATATTTATATACCAAATATTACACTAATAAAGTAACAAGCAAACATACACTTAAAAGTATCAAGGAGGTAAAATATTTTGTAAAGCTCCAACTAATCTCAGAATCATAAAATCAACAATAACATCAAGGATCTATATTATATTAAAAGATAATCCTAAATAATAAAAGCCTAATATGCAAATTGTCTCCTAGACCAGGAGTTTGACCTGGAGTTCCACAGGGAGTTTGACCAGGGGCTGGGGCTGGCTGGCCAACCACCCATGGCCCCTCTCCCGGGCCAACCCCACCTCATCTGGCAGTGGTGGCAGGCAGCCGAGGGAAGGGAGGGACCCTACCCATGCACGAATTTCATGCACTAAGCCTCTATTTAGGTATATAATTGTCAAAAACAATGCTCAGTTCTGAGTTAGTGGCTGATGTTCAAATCAGTGATAAAAGACATTTCAGACAACTGCTAATGATATAGTTCTATCTATCTATCTATCTATCTATCTATCTATCTATCATCTACTAGTATCTAGAGATTGAGAGAAAGAAGGAAAGAGAGAAGGAGAGATCTGGAAAGAAGGTCTTGGGGTGCTAACAGTGATCATTTTTGCCAATGATATATGGCATTTTATTTTATCTTTATTTTCTAAGTTTCTGAGATATAGATCGATTGTTTGTTGGTAAAATATATGTAATTTAAAATATTTTTAAATTAATATTCTTAAATGAATAAAATATAAACTGGTTATATTTACCGAGCTAAGATAAAAGCTTTCCTTCTAATACTAAGAGGTGGTTTCACCCAATAACATGAAGCAGTAACATGACAGTTATGAGTCTACAAAGTGATCACGTCACAAGAAGACTGCTGATAGGACATACAAAGGCCTCATTCTTTTGCTACTTCAATGCCACCATGGGTGCAAGGCTCCTCTGCTGGGTAGTGCTATGTCTCCTGAGAACAGGTGAGTCCTAAGCACAAAAGAAAAAATCCTACAGTGGGTTGGCCAACCACCTTGTCAGGGTTCCTCCTGGGCTTTGTCTACTGCTTCTGTTTCTCTCTCTTACAGGCTCTAGTGATGTCCAAGTCACTCAGACCCCAGGACATCTGGTCAAAGGCAAAGGACAGAGTGCAAAGATGAATTGCATCCCCCCAAAAGAACACCCTGTTGTTTACTGGTACAAACAGACCCAGAACAAAGAGTTTACGTTTTTGATATACTTCCAGAATGAAGACGTTCTCGATCAAATTGAGTTGGTCAAGAAGCGATTCTCAGCTCAATGCCCAAAAAACGAAGGGTGCAGCCTGGAGATCAAGACCTCTGAACCAGGAGACTCAGCAGTGTATTTCTGTGCCAGCAGCCTATCCACAGCACTGAAATGTCAGCTCCTCTTAATGCACAAACTCATCATGGGCCCAGCTCAGGAAGCAGGTGAGGTGTTAGGCTGTAGCAGAAGTTAACTGGAGTTAGCATAAGCCACAGTGGGATTTGACAGCTGGTTGCCGAGCAGCAGTCAAGGAGTGATGAGCAGATGATTCTGCAAAAAAAAAAAAAAAAAAAAAACACCAGCTGGGCCAGGGTCTGAGATGGCTGCCCACCAGCACTCATTTTTTCTTTCTCTTATTTTGTCTGCTTCATGTCTTCTTTCTCTATAATCTGTCTTTCTCTTTTCCTCCTGTCCTTATGATGAAGATAAGATGGTCTTTGAAGGTCCCAGATTCAGTTGTTATCACCACACCACACTGATAAAGACCAGCCCAGTTCTTTCTAAATGTGAGTTAAAATCCCAAGGGAAACAGCAGAATGGTCTCCTGGAGTATGTGTCTCTTGCCATGTCTGTGTGCAAAGTTATGTAAATCTTACTTTATTCTGCATGCTTAGCTTTTCCACTCAAAGTGAGTGAAACACTTCATTTTTTTTTTCTGTAGGAACATCTAGTCTATTGCTTCTAAATGATGCACATTATCCATATTTACCCTCCAGAAACAGATACCTATTTTCTGGCCAGCATTGAAAAAATGTACAGGTAGCTTTGAGTATCCACGATTATAGGAATACATACCCAGAATCATACTTGCTGAGACATTAAATGCTATATGTATATGCTACTGATATATGGAGGTCCTTCTGTTCAGTTATTTGGTCATCCCTCACTAACCCCGCTGCTGGCCGGTCGCCCCACGCAGCCAGTTTGATCGTCCATCCAATTGTTTCAGTTGTGATGGTCACTTAGGCTTATATATATATATATAATATGTTCAAGGACTTAGAGGAAAATTATCATAGTTTAATTAATTGATAAATTGATTAGCCTGTAGCAATCAAGCCAAAAAGGGCAAATATATATGAGTGATAAAAATACAATATATCTCTATAGATACAAATACATTATAATGATGAAAGAATATAAAAAATAAGAATTTCCAATAAATTCTACAAATTAGATAACACAAAATTATTTGCAAAACACAACAACTGATTTAAGATAAAATCAGAAATATAAAAATTCTTACATGAAGTAAATGGAATTATTAGTCAGAGAAAATTATAAATCCAGATACCTTTCCTGGTGAATTTTATCAAACATTTAAGGGACAAAATATGCCAACTTTAAATAAACATTTTGTTAGACCATAAAGAGAAGGAAATACTTCACAACTCATTATGTGAACCTGGCAAAATCTTGATGCCAACATTTGACAAAAAATATTATAGAAAATATTCTGTATGACCATAGGTGAAAAAAATATTTCCCAACATATTAACAAATCAAATTAAAATGTGCATATGTGTCTGCATGTGTATACATATATAATGATACTACATCATAACCAGTAGGTTTATTGCAGGACAAACCATGGGTCAGCATTAAAAAACAATGTATTTAATCATATTAGCAGAACAATGAAGAATTATTTTCCAACCTCCTCAATAGATGCTGAGAAAACTTTGGACAAAATCAAGTATACATTTAAAATAAACAATCTCGGGCCTAGCCAGTGGCCATGGACAACAGGGGAGTGGGGGCATATGTGGGGAGGGGGTTGGGATGGGAATGGGGGGATGAGGACAATTATGTGATACCATAATCAATAAAATTAAAAAAAATATATAAAAATAAATAAATAAAATAAACAATCTCAGCAAACTGCTAATAGAAAAGCATTTTCTCAATCCAATGGAGAGCAGCAATGAAAACTGTGCAACCAATATCCTATTTAATGGTGAATATTGAACACTTTTCTTCTATGATTGGGAATAAAGCTTGATTTTTTTCTCACATTACATTATTTTCTTCAACATTATATTGGAGGTCTTAATCAGTGTGATAAGCACCCTCCCCCCCAAAAAAGAAATAAAAGTCCCAAATATTATAGATGAGAAAGTAAAAGTATAACTATTTTAAAATTACATAATTGCTTATATAGAAACAGAAACCCATAAGGAATCAATGGACCACAATTAGAAATAATTAGTGAATTTAGCAAGATCCCAGGATACAAGGCTAATAGAAAAAAATCAAGGTGTTTTTATACTAGCTGCAAACAATTGAATTATTAACTTTCAGGGGAAAAAATTCCATGTGCAATAATATCAACACGAGGAATAAATTTAGCAAAAGATGTTCAATGAAAAACTACAAACCAGGGCAAAGGGAGATTAAAGAAAACATTAAAATGGAAAGATATATAATGTTTATGGATGGCAAATTGCACTAAGATAGAAAATTTCTCAACAAATAATGGTAGAACAACTGGCTAAGCACATGGAAATAAATAAACTTTACTGGTGTCACATACCATAAATAAAATTCAATATGATATGAACTTTAGAGATAAGTGTATAAGTGAAAACTACAAATCCCATAGGAGATAATACAGGGAAAAAATTTCTTATAACACAGAAATACTAACCAATAGTTAAAAAGTCATTTATTATCTGGCATGCTTTTTGCCAGAGTGTATTTTTTATTCAGATCAATAATTCACAAATGAGAAGAGAAAACATGGCTCATAAATTAGATTTGAGAGCCATATGTGTACAATTATCCCACAGTAGGGAGACTATTGATGCATGCACCAAGGACCCTCTCAGTTATTCATAAATTAGAGTGTATTTTTCTTCAATTCTATTACCATCCAATTATCTGTGTCCTCCCTTCCTCTGATAATAGTCTCTCTTTCTCCTGCTCTGGCCTAGATTCTGCTCCCAGGGTGACTTCTGCTTCTCCTGTCCTTGCCCTGCACCTACAAACTTCTGTAGGACTCCACTGGACCCTCATCTGTTCTCTCAATCTATGCCACCCCAAAATAATAGTTTAGTGGTATATTCATTCAGCTACCAAACCTGGATTCCACTCAAATAACTGTCTCCAGCAGGGGTCGGTAAAACAGCATGTTGCCTTTAAGAACTGCACGTTGGGGCAATGATATTTTTCCAGTTAAGGATAAACCCAAAATGATCATTTTCATTATAGTTACCTTGTTTTTATTAATTGAGACCCTGGATAAGCAATTTACTGGAATAAGTCTACATTTATATAGGTATTATTAATGGAGAACTCTACCCAAAAGGAGAGATTAGAAGAGAGAGGCACTGGGCATATGTCATATACTATGTATACAGTGGGTATAAAAAATTACTTGGGTACTCCTAAATAAACAGTGCCTATCTTATATAATAAAAACCTAATATGCAAATCAACTGAACAATGGAACAACCAGTTGCCATGGGGTAAGGCCAGCCAAGGCGAGTGCCAGTGGGCAGAGGGAGGGGATGGTAATTAGAGGGCAGCAGCGGTGGTCAGGCAATGGGGGGCGGGGCCAGGGCTGCCCCCTAGTGGTCAGTGCTCTCCCACAGGGGGAGAGCTGCTCAGCCACAAGCCAGGCTGAAGGCTGGCGAGTATAGCGCTAAGGATGTCTGACTTCAGCTTAGGTGGGCCTAAGTTGCAGTTGGACATCCCCCAAGGGCTCCCAGACTGCAAGAGGGTACAGGCCAGGCTGAGGGAAGCCCCCCCGCAACCCACTGAGTGCACAAATTTTCATGCACCGGCCTCTAGTCTATATATAAAAGCCTAAGCAACCATTATGACTGAATGAGTGGAATGACCAGAATGAGCAGAACAACCAGTTAACTTTCTATGATTCGCACTGACCACCAGGGGGCCAATGCTCAATGTGGAAGCTAACCCCTGGTAGTGTGCTTCCACAGCAGGAGTGCTGCTCAGCTGACCCACCCACCCTGGTGGCCCACCAACCCGGTGGCAGCTACTCCCTCCCTCCCCTCAGTAATCCTGCAGGTACAATCTCCAGAGAACAGGCCAGGTACAATGGACCAGAGCCACCAGCAGGAAACTCCTGGAAGTTGGCCTCAGGCACTGTGGCTGTTTCCTCTCCCTAGACGCTCCACAAGGAAGAATCAATATAAAAGTGACTGCCAGGTGGCTCCCAACAACCAGTGCAAATGTCAGCAGGATGGATCTGGATCCTGGGCCAGCAAGAGCGTTCCACTGCCTGCCCGGAGGGCAGATCATGTCTTGGCCTCCCAACCCCTATCCCTCTTGGGACCCCACCCCTCTTGGGACCAGAGTTGGTAATTATCAAAACTGAGACAGAAGGGCTCATAATGCTATTATACCTAATTTCTATACATTAGAAATTTTCATAATCAACAGGAAAATAAAACAAAAATATTTTCTACTGTGCTATGTAGTAGGACTGACTTGTGTAGGACTCATGCTATATCCATGGATGAGCATTTATTACATCAGTTGGTGTTTCAACTATCCTTGAAGCTGTGCTATATTGTAATTTGTTGCATTAAAATATTGAACACTTCCTCCTAATATCAGAAATAATTGATGAAATTATGCTGAAATTATCTCTTTCTTCAACTATTTTCAGTTAACTCGCAATATGAGTGAAGATGTCAAGTATTTCTTTGAAATACATACCCACAGGTAAGGAATACTTTCTGTAACGAGCCACTATTTTCAGTAATGATCTTCACCCAGAAAACATTGACCAGAAAAACAGCATCCACTAGAGAACAGTGACAATTTAGAACAAAACTAGTAGTGCTGACCCTCTTCCAAAAAGTAAAAGAGAAAAAAAGAAGCACTTTTCAAGCTTTATGCTAAATCTACTCAAATTGCACAGGTTACCTAGATCTGAGTTAGAAAAAAAAAAAAAAAAAGAATAAATGCAGAAAGAAATGTTAGTGGTCACAACCCTCCAAAGAGACTAGATTCCTTCTATTTGAAAAGGCTGTGAATTTTCTTGATAGCCTGTTCAACTGGGAGAATGACACTTCCCTGAACAACTGAAATAGGCAGCCCTGGCTAGAGGGAGAGAGAGACCACTCTCTGACAGATGGCAGGGAAGAACCAGGAAGGGAAGGAAATGGAGTAAGTTTTTGCCTCGCCTCCGCTGAAAGGACATGGGACAAGTAAACAGGAACACCACCTGCCTGAGACATAATGGAGGAAGAAGGTTAGACCTGGGGGTTGGGAGGTAGGGGGCGTGGCTGTATCTTCCTCTGTGGCCTAGAAAGTTGGGAGGGACAATGACATCACTGACTGAATACCTAGAATTTATTATTTCCATGCCCTATTTCCCCCAATATCCAGAGCTGGAAACGCCTCCACCCTGCCTGTCCTGGCCATGGGCTCCATGCTCCTCTGCTGTGTGGTCTTTTGTCTTCTGGGAGCAGGTGGGCTTGGGAAACAGGTGGGAAGTCCCTGCCTTAAATTTCCAGATTCCAGCTGAGGCTTCTCCCTGGAGACTGTGGCAAGAGGACACTTCTTAGGCTCTGTCTCCAGTTTCTGTTTTGTTTCTTCACAGGGCACATAGATGCTGGTGTTTTCCAGACTCCAAGGAATAAGATTGTAAAGAAAGGAAACAGCATTATTCTAGAATGTACTCAGAATGAGGATCATGACTATATGTACTGGTATCGACAAGACCCAGGACTGGGACTACGGCTGATCTACTACTCCTTTGATGATAAAATTTACAAAGGAGATGTCCCTGATGGGTACAATGTCTCTCGAGAGGAGCTAGCAAAATTCCCCCTCGTTCTAAAGGCTGCCAGCCCAAACCAGACAGCTGTTTATTTCTGTTCCAGCAGCCTCACACAGCGTTTCTTGGCCACCTGCTCTCCACACAGAAAGATAAGCATGTGGGTGGGTTATTTGCTCAGAAGGGTACAGGAGGCTTCCAAGATATGGGATGTGGGATCCTGAGAGCTCTGAGTAGTTTGATGCTGGGTGAGTCTCAGTCTGAGTTTAGGGGCACGTGGGATCAATGCCCCAGTCAAGTGATGACTCTGAAACCACAGGCTAGATGGAACCCATCTCTCACACTACTGAACTTCTTTATCTCTTTCCTTAGACATTTTTTAAATTACAGTTGATATTCAATATTATTTTGTATTAGTTTCAGGTGTACAGTATATTGGTTAGAAAATCATGTATTTTACAAAATGATCCCCCTGAAATTTCCTGTCCCTGCCTGTCCCTATATATAACTATTACAATATTATTAACTATATTCCCTAGGCTGCTATACATAGCTATTACAATATTGTTAACTATATTCCCTAGGCTGCTATACATAGCTATTACAATATTATTAACTATATTCCCTAGGCTGTACTTTACATCCTCAGGATTATTCTGTAACTACCAATTTGTACTTAGTAATCTCTTCACCTTTTTCACCCAGTCCCCCAACTCTCCTCCCCTCTGGCAAACATCAATCTGTATCTATGAGTCTGTTTCAGTTTTGTTTGTTTATTTATTTTGTTCTTTAGACTCTACATATAATTGAAATCATATATCTTTTTTAAAATATATTTTATTGATTTTTTACAGAGAGGAAGGGAGAGAGATAGAGAGCTAGAAACATCGATGAGAGAGAAACATCGACCAGCTGCCACTTGCACACCCCCTACCGGGGATGTGCCCGCAGCCAATGTACATGCCCTTGACCGGAATTGAACCTGGGACCTTTCAGTCTGCAGACCGACGTTCTATCACTGAGCCAAACCTGTTTCGGCTGAAATCATATATCTTTATCTGACTTATTTCACTTAGATAATACCCTCTAGGGTCCATTCATGCTATTTCAAATGATAAGGTTTCATTCTTTTTTATAGCCAAGCAATCCATTATATATATGTCACAGCTTTTTTATCTACTTGTCTATTGATGGGTACTTGGGTTGCTTCTATATCTTGGTTATTATAAATAACACTGCAATAAACATAGGGGTGCATATATTCCTTTGAATTAGAGTTTTGAATTTCTTTGGATATATGCCCAGAAATAGAGTTTCTGAGTCAGAATGGGTTATTATCAATAAGTCAATAAACAATAAGTATTGGCAAGGATGTGGACAAAAGGGAACCCTCATGCACTGTTGATGAGAATGCAGATTGGTACAGCTAATCTAGTATGGATGGTCCTCAAAGTTAAAAATGTAACTGCCTTATAACTCTTTATCTCTTCTACTAAGGCTAGTCTAGCAGTGTTCTTCAGGAGAATGAACCTGAGCATTGAGCAACACCATCATGATTTTCAATAAGATCATTAACTTTTTTACTGTCTCAATGTAATGTGATCTTTAATGGTTCATTTGCTTTTGTCCCCACCCATGTATTAGTAACATCCCCATTTCATTCTGTCCCTTTATCCTGCCAGCCCTAACTCAGTCCGAGTTCCTCTGAGCTCAACCACTGTTTAGATATGTAGCTGCTTGCCTTTATCCTAGGAACACACTGACTCACTTGTTTCCTGTAATTCCATTGTAAGAAAATTTAATGATCATTAAATGTGACTTAGAAGGTGAAGTTCAAGTACTAGAGACTGTGGTCTATAAAAGTCATCATTCATCTACTGCCCCACACTTGGATCTCTGTTGAGATTAGTTAGAACCTGCAGAAGAAGATAAACTTATCTCATTATCTGGATGTAATGAATTACAAAAAATTTGCCTGTTCTCCAACATGAAGCCAAAGGTAGAAAGTTGGGAGTTCTTCTTTCTCTCAAGGCATTAAAATAAATTCTCAGCTCCTCTGCAGAGGGCACCTTCCAGGAGCCAGAGAGCTCCTTCCAAGACTATATATATTTTTTTAGTTTAAGAGTGATGTCCCTCTAACTTCATAGAAGGAAGGGAAGGAGGGAGGAAAGGAAACTAGATTTAAATACCATATTTTCCAGCATATAAGACGACCCTCTAATTTTTACAGTTAAAACATAGGTTTAGGCCTATATTCGCTGTATAAGACTAACTCCCAGTTCCGAGGCAAAACCAGTTCTTTTTTAAATTAAATTTTTAATGAATGACATTTTTCAAACATACCGTAATATACCATACGATAAATGGAAGGTCTCTTCACAAATGGCAATGCCATGAACTTGACCGAGAAACAAGAAATCCAAAAGAGAACATTAACAATGATGGCATCATCTGGAAAGAAAATTACATGAAGAACTTGCAGAAAACACTTGTTTGTGACTGACTGGGATGATAAGAGGTTTTTCTAGGCAGAGGAGCATTGTGAGCTTAAAATCCTTCAAAATCCTCATCATGTTCTTCTTCTGACATCATAAGTTCATCAATGACATCTTGTGGTACATTTGTAAGACAGTCATCATATGGATCAAATTCTGAATCAAATGGTGTGGCTTCAGCTTCGGCTTCCCCTTCATATTGCCACAAGAAGTCATCCTTCATACCGTCCAAAGAATTTGATATGCCACACTTCTTGAAAGACCTGATTACTGTTTCTTCAGTAATATCATTTCAGGCTTTTATGACAAAGTTACACAAAACATCCAATTGTGGTGCACGCATGTTTCTTCCTTTTGTGAATAGTAACTTTTCGCCGCTAACCATCCACTCATTCCACTGTTCTCTAATGCGATCTTTAAATGGCTTGTTTAGGCACACATCCAGTGACTATACCAATGATGTCAATCCTCCAGGAATAACTGCCGCATCTGTGTTTATTCTTGCCAGCCTGTTCTTTGTGCTGGTAGTTAAATGAGCCCTGAACATATCCCACACCAGTAGGTTACGTTCTTGACGAAGTCCTCCTGGTCGCCTACTCCATACATTATCAAGCCATAGCTTTACCCCTTCTTCATCCATCCATTCTTTTTCATTCACATGTATAAAAACTCCAACAGAGAACTTGATTTTCGGCATTGTTTTTCTTTTAAAAATAATCATTGGTCTTAGTTTGGCACCATCAGCTGTACATGCTAGTACCACTGTAAAACTGGACTTCTCATGTCCTGTTGTCTTAATTAACACTGTTTTTGCACCTTTTGGATTAACAGTTTTATTTCCAACCATATCGAAATTCATAGGAGTTTCATCCATATTTCCGATCTGACTTAATACATAGCCATGTTTCTTGCGCTGTTGTATTACATATTGATGGAAAAGATTTACTTTGCTGTCAAGATCTGCAGGTAATTTTTGTGCAATTTTGGTCTTTTGCCTCAGTACCAGATTGTGCCTTTCCAAGAACCTAGTACTCCAGGATACAGTGGCCTTAAATCCTTTGCTGTTATCTGGGTTAGATTTGGCCCACAGAAGTGCAAACATACATATTTTGTTTTGTGTCACTACATAACCATTTTGACGATGCTCAAGAACCATGTCTGCTACATGCTTTTCAAGTTCTGGCCAATAAGGGGTGCCTCTTCTTAATGCACACTTACTCTTTGGCATACTCTTTAATGCATCTTCATTTGCTTTCCAGTCTCAGACAATCTTTTCTGTTACTCCATATTGTCTTGCTGCAGCACAGTTATTGTGTTTCTTGGCAAAGTTTACAACTTTCAGTATGAAACTGGCTTCAAATTTCCTTCTTCTTGCTGGAGCCATGATGGGTTCTTTTCTGCCAGCCATTTGTTGTACACCCACTAATCTTTTAGGCAGGGGTTATACAGTACTGTAGCTTCAGCTACACACAGAATGTTCTATTACAGTACCTTTTAACTCACTGTATGTGTCCTGATACAGCAGCTTTGGCTACACAGAACGTTCCTGTGCTGCAACTGTATGTACCATGGTGAGACAATCACAACAAGCAAAGGTTCAAAGGTTATAATAGACCGCCTCTCTGACTCTGGCCAATCTGAGCAGACTTTTTACTAGAACACAGTGCAGCTTCAGGTACAGAACATGTATAATTTGCATGCATAAAAAGCTTGCTTGGATTGGCTGAATTAGAGAAGCGGTCCAAGTAGCCTTGCAGTGATTGGTGCGGGATCGAGTTGGAAAATTCGTTTAGCGGCATATCGAGACGTTTTTCTGGATATACTCGGCGTATAAGACGACCCACGATTTTCGGTTGACTTTTTTTCGTTTCAAAAGTTGTCTTATACGCCGGAAAATATGGTATGTGTTCAAATAGATCTTCAAGATTCTTCTCTCAAGTAATATGCTGTCTGAGTTCTGATGCATGTTTATTTAAGATCTCCAACCCCTAACTACAAGTCATTTTATAATTTTTTTAAAATATGTTTTATTTTGTTTTAAAATATATTTTATTGATTTTTTACAGAGAGGAAAAGAGAGAGAGATAGAGAGCCAGAAACATCGATGAGAGAGAAACATCGACCAGCTGCCTCTTGCACACCCCCCACTGGGGATGTGCCCGCAACCAATGTACATGCCCTTGACCGGAATTGAACCTGGGACCTTTCAGTCAGCAGACCGACGCTCTACCACTGAGCCAAACCAGCTTTGGCTTAAAAAATATGTTTTTATTGCTTTTTGATAGAGAGGAAGAAAGAGAGGGAGAGAGAGAGAGAGAGAGAGAGAGAGAGAGAGAGAGAGAGAGAGAGAGAAAACAAAACATAGTCTGCTGTTTTCTGCACATCCCCCTTACTGAGGGTCAATCTTGAACCTGGGCATGTACCCTGACCTGGAACCCAGCCAGTGACTTGTAGGTGCATGGGATGACACTCAACCGCCTGAGCCACACGAGCCAGGACCTACTAGGCCTTTTATAAGAAAGAAAATATATTTGCTTAAGCATTTTTACATAGGAAGACCAACACTAAAAATAAAAGAGGACATTTCACTGGGCTAAAAATATGTATAGACATATGTAGCAATTGTCTGATAATTCCTGTAACCTTAATTGTTGATATTTAGAAATTCTCAACAACTGACCCATAGACTGCCCTGGCTCTCCCAAAAGTGGGCTGTGCAGGAGTTATTCCAGTGCTGGATGCCTTCAAGTTCATTTTTATCTGAACAGGACCTAAGCCTCTCATATAGCTACTCCCAACTCAAGGTATCTCCCTTCATTCTTCCCTCTTTCTTTAATCACTTCTACTGTGATACAGATTTTACATCCAGCCAATATTAAGGAGTTTCATCAACTCAGCACTCAAATTCAATTTTCTGACTCTGAGAATAACTCAGGGCCTCTCTCCTTTCTGTTTTGTTCTTTTTACAATTCATCAGAAGGAATCTTCCCAAATTTCTTGTATCTATTCACCCATTTCCTTTTTTCTTCCAGCAGGGGGCAGTAACATTATATTTATTTATTTTTCTTCCTCAACACTACCTATGAGGATAAGACCAGCTGTCATTAATGCCGTTAATGATTACCTTTATCTTAAAGGACGCCCTGATGGGATAAGACTATTTCAGGGTTTGATAGGTCAAACGAGAAAGCAGGAGCTTATGGGTGCTATATATAAAATACATAGCTATAGTAGCACAGCTATAATAGTCAAAAATCCAAAACCCCAGATCAGCAGGACGTAAGCAAGAATTTTATTGAACGTCAACTGTGGATCCACTTGAACTAAAGCAAAAGGAGCAGAAGAAGGGGAAATGGACTCCTGGGATTAATCTTGGAGACTCAGATCAAAGCTAAAGACTTTTCTATAGAAACAAAATGAGGAACAGAGAAGAGAGAGGCTAGTACTGCAGCAGTGCCCCCAAATGTTTAGCTAATATACCAAAGCATGTAAAGAATTGCCAATCTGAGTTTTCGGTTCTGACAAGATTGATGTTGCAGTCAAAATAATGAATGGAGCCTACATAGAGAAGGTTGGTAGCATCTGAATGCCAAATCAGGGAGAAATAAGACTGAGAAAGTTGTGGAATTACCACAGGATAATCACATTACATTTTTCTGTAATGTGAATTTTTTTTTTTTACATTTATCATTTTACTGAGAAGTCAGTAAATGTCAGCTACTGCTTCAAGCCCTTCACATGTATTATCTAAATGGGTTGTTGCCTCATTTAGTCCTCAAAATGTGCTTCCCTATGCCCTCTGTGATGGAGCCATTCTGTTTACTGGGCATTCTTTTGAATGTAATCTCTTAGCTTCTCAGAGTTCTTTTTAGTCCATTCTTCAGAGTGTCCCTCAAACATCACTTCCTTTCCCAAGCTTTCTAACTAGGTCACATCCTCCTTATTATAGTCTCTCAAAGCTCTGCAGTCCTCACCTTCACAGCTTGTAAAACTGTTGCAATTTAATGTTTTGTGAAAGAGTGGGGACTTGAGTTAAGTAAACTAACCAAAGTTTCTAGCCTACTTTGGATGTGAGAAGTGAACAAAAATATTATTCCTTTGATGAGTAAAGGGATGTAGACAACACAACTATAGCAACAGGATGGCTATGGAAGCCAGCAAAGTTGCAGGGACTGTGTTTGTCACTCAATGACTTCCTCAAAACTTCTTGCTTAACTGTGCCCATGGCTCTCAGTTTCCTCTGCTATGTGGCCCTTTACCTTCTGCAGGCAAGTAAGTCAAGACACAGATTTCTGTAAAATCAGAAAGGAACATTTCCCCCGATCAGGGTTTGCACCTGGATCCAGCATCAAGGCCATCCTGGACTCTGTTGACAATGTTTGTCTCCTTCTTTCAGGCCCCATTAATGCTGATGTCTCCCATACCCCAAGACATTGTGTTACAGGGACAGGAAAGATGATTACTCTGGAATGTTCTCAAACCATGGGCCACGACAAAATGTACTGGTATCACCAAGACCCGGGAATGGAACTGCAGCTAGTGCATTACTCATATGGTGTTAATAGCAGAGAAAGGAGAGCTGCCTTCTGAGTCCACTATCTCTGGAATAAGGAAGGAACATTTTTCTCTAAGGCTAGTATCCATCAGCCCTTCACACACATCTTGGTACCTCTGTGCCAGCAGCCACACAACTTTACATGACATCTACAGCCTTCACACAAAGGACAGTCACACAGGTGAGAAAGTTCCACCATCATAAACTTAAACTACAGAAGCAGCTGTGAATCTTCCCAGACTCCTTGGCCCTGAGGGGCCAGTGTGGTCTGAGCAAGTATGAGCAGAAAACTAACCCGGGTAAATCGCTCTCTCTGAAGTTGGGGAACACTGAGCCCACACTGATTTCTCTCCTGTATCTAACTATAGTGTCCAGTTGAGGCTTACACAATCATATCCCTTAAGATAGGTGTGACATTATTTGACAGTTGGCTATCTGCAGGAAAACTTGCTAACTGAGAAGCAGAAGTTCTTTTGGCTTTCTCCACAGGCTATCTCTGGTCAATGGTTTCTTCCTCATGTACATCTATTTACTTCGTGTACACTGTCTAAGTCCCAAGCCCAATCCCTCTTCCCACAGCTTGGAATAATAGAGAGACCAGAACTGATCACTTTCAGTACTCTACTTTAAACCAATGGAATTTTAACTAAATCAACATGAGACAGAAACAGTGGTTGCAAGAAAACTCCCCTGTCTTCAGACTTGGATCTCTGGAGATTCCCCTAATCACTGGGAAGCTATTTCACAGATTGATGCTTCTGTGAATACATTGAGTCTTGGAGATGCTGTCTCCATCTGCAGGAGACCAGAACTTCAAGCTCAAGTAGGCAAAGGACAAAAGTGCAGCCATCAGCTAGGGCAGTGGTCGGCAAACTCATTAGTCAACAGAGCCAAATATCAGCAATATAACAATTGAAATTTCTTTATGAGAGCCAAAAACTGATTTCTGCACATGATCCACGAAGTTTCAATCGCACTGTACATGCGCCAGCAGGTGGTATTTTGTGGAGGAGCCAGAGCCGCATGTGGCTCGTCAGCCACATTTTGCCAACCACTGAGCTAGGGTGCTTACGTCTCCCGAGAAGAGGTGAGTGCTGGGCTCACAGGTGAAACCTATATCTTGAGGCTTCCATAGAGTAAAGCCAGTCAGTCTTTACTTGGCTTAAACTCTTCATCCTGTTTTTAGCTATTATGTAAATACTAGAGGCCTAGCGAGGGACTGAAATCACATGAGGAGGTACCCCATCTCCCACTGTGCAAGGAAGCACCCCGTGGGGGGGCTGGGACCTGCACCTGACCTGCACAGCACCGGCTGCCACATTGTGCTCGTAGCATGGCCTTGCTGCAGTGTGGTGTCTGCTGGGATGAGGCAGGCACTCCTGTGTGTTGTCTCCACTCCAGCCTGCCCCCAGCCCCAGCTCCCCCCTACTCTCCTTCAGCAGCACGCAGTCCCCTCCAGCCCATCTGCGTTCTCAGCTCCTCCTAAGAAGTTGTGATACAGCCTCCTCCTGAGCAGTTGTGACACCCGGCTAACTAGCCCTGTTTATCTATATATAGACTAGACTGCAGTGTTTCCCAACCTTCTCTCATGATGAGAATCACCTGGTGGAGTTGTTAAAACACAGATTCCTGAATCCCAACTAAGTGCTAAACTAGAATTTTTGAGAACATATAGGTAAAATTGCATACCTAACTTAGTGCTCTGTATATAAAATCTGTCTTAGAGCACTAGTTAAGTATACACTTTTACCTATATGTTCCCAAAAATTCTAGTTTAGCACTTCTTAGTTGGGATTCAGGAATCTGTGTTTTAACAACTCCACCAGGTGATTCTCATCATGAGAGAAGGTTGGGAAACACTGGACTAGAGGCCTGATGCACAAAATTTGTGCAAGAGTAGTCCCTTCTTCCTCTGGCTGCCAGCAGCGGCTTCCCTCTGGCACCCGGGACCCGGGCTTCTCTCACAGCCCTGGCTTTGTCCTAAAGGTCATCTGGAAGGACACTGATCTAATTAGCATATCACACTTTTATTATTATAGATTCCATATAATATGAATTAGACTTATTTGGCCATGTTCCAGTACTTCCAAGCTACTTAATCTCTACTAAAGATAATTTCCTAGTCTATAAAATGGACTCAATAATATGTGGCTCCCATTGGGTTTTATTTAGTAGAGAAAATGTATGTGGGTTGCCTAAAATAATTCCCAGCACAAAAATTAGACTCAATAATAAAAGAAGGTTAACAGCAATAATATTAGTAGCAATACTACTAATTAACCATTTTGAAAGCTAAACCTTAATAAGTGATTGCTTTGTATTAGGCATTGTTATAACCACTGAACATATTAACTTATTTAATCCTCACAGCAACTCTGTTAAGTTTATCCTTTTATTGGCACAAATCAGATAGTAAAATTGAGCACAAAACAGTTCATTTACTTGCTTAAGATGACAGTAAGTAACAGAACCAGTATTCAAATCCATACAGTCTTCCTCTAAAGCCTTCTGTGTAAACTACTACCCTAGTGACAATGGTAGTTGTTAAGGAATGTCGGAGATGTCATGAAGAACTAAGGCTGCTTCAGAAAGAATGCAAAGGAACAGCATGCATAAACCCAAAGAATAATTGGTTTTCCCCATATGAATGGTCCAGGAAAGTCATGTGATTTCTGGTGCTCTGTGAAGGGAAGAAAAGACTCCATCTGTGCAGGGTTGGGACATTGGGTGTGGACAGAGACAGTGACATCACAGGCTGACAAGAGCTGGTAAAAGACCATTTCTTTTCCCATCCTTCCACGGGTATCAGCTCCTCTGAAAAATAGCCTTCTTATCTCCTCAGTGAATGAGATAAGACAACACAAGAAAAATTAGACCCTGGGTTTCTAGGCCCCAGCATGACTTGTGTTCATGTTTTATGTCCAAATCATTGGGCTTCCAGGTAACACTGCTTGTAACTTCCACACTCTTCTCCCCCAGGTCACCTGGATGCCAGAGCTTTTCAAAATCTAGAGACCTAGAGAAGTAGAGAGGGAAAGCCTTTTTAAAAAATGTCATTAGGACTTTGGTCATGACAGAATATTCTGCTGTGACTAAGTACCAGGTTGGGACCATAGTTGACCCACTGCTCACTGGCTCTACTGCAAAGCATTCCCTGATGAGGGCAGTCCCCAAGCAGAAGGAAGAGGGTTTCTCCCTGGTCCTGGAGACATCTTTGCACTTCCATGCTAGCAGTTATCTATGACAATTCACAGCCACATCCTGGAGGAAAAAAAAAAAATCTGCTTAGAAATAATGTTAAATAGTAGAAAGCCATATCAATGACATTCGAATTTCAGTTCATCTGTGGTGACTAACATCTTTCAATTTCCATCAAATACATTTTTCCCAAAAACAGATGCTACAACTCCTTGTGTTAGCACTTGCCCATACCCAGTCCTAACTGGTGGAACCTCTGCTCAGACAGATCCAAACTGTCTCTGCACACATTCTAGGCATCTACCAGACTCTCCTAAGTTTCTACCCTGTTTCCCAGAAAATAAGACAGTGTCTTAATTAATTTTTGCTCCCAAAGATGCTAGGTCTTATTTTTAGGGGATATCTTATTTGTCCATGAAGAAGAATACTGTACACATTTATAGTTAAATGAAAATAAAAGAAATTTATTACCTGTATATGGTACGGTAGTACAGTAGTTGTCAACACAAACCAGACAAACTGTGAATCCTATAGTATCAAGAATTTACTCATTTATTCAATGACAATATCATGTCATCATCTTCTGGAACATCATCATAACAATCCAATTTCTGAATTTCCTGGTGAATTTCTTGTGACTGCATTTCTTTCAGAATCAGTGGACCAAATCTCTCATGTTTAGCCTAGAGGGGGCCTTATTTTTGGGGGGATGCCTTATATTTCACTCAGAAGGAAACCTGTAAATAGGTCTTATTTTTGGAGGAAGTCTTATTTTCAGGGAAACACAGTATGTATCCAGTTGCTCCATTCTGCTTCACTCCCGTAAAAATCAACCCTCTGAAAGAGAAATGAAAAAATGCAGAGATTGGGTGGCACTCATGGAAATGAATGGTATTAGACTGGCTAAAGAGATGAAAGTACTTTTAGAAAGGAATTTGAAGTTGGGTAAAGAGATAAAATGGAAAGAGTTCCAGGTGTTTATATAAGACACGCAGTGTCCATAAACACTACTTAATTTACCATGATAGTCTCATTAAAAATGCAAAAGATGCAAACACACCATATCAAAAAAGATAAGTCTTATAAGGGAAATTAAAAATTCATAGAGGAAAGGCCCAGCCAGCTGTGGCTCAGTGGTTGAGTGTCCAACCAGGAACCCCAAAGTCACTGGTTTGATTCCCAATCAGAGCATTTGCCCCAGTTTCAGGCTCAATACCCAGTAGTGGGCATGCAGGAGACAGCCAATCAATGTTTCTCTCTCATCATTAATGTTTCTATCTCTCTCTCCCTCTCCTTTCCTCTCTGAAATCAATATATATATATATATATATATATATATATATATATATATATATATACATATATATATATATATATATATATATATATATATATATATAAAAGAAAATTAATAGAGGCAAAAAACAGCCATGCTAATTCTTCAAGAAAACAAACAACACAACAATCACGTGGCCTAAATAGATGTCACCACCACATTCTGTTAAGTCTGAGATGCTTTCACTTCTCTTCCGAAGCAGTGAGGGAAGGGTGTGTGGTTCCTGGCCAGGGGTAGATGACAAGTGTTGGTGTCAGAGACTAAACTCCTCACAGTCTCAGACAGCATTTCATCCGATGCTGCCATGAGCAACAAGTTGTTCTGCTGTGTTGTCGTTTGTCTCATCCGAGTAGGTGAGCACTGGGCACAGGTGAGGGACCCTGTCACTGGCTTCCCAGGCTCCAACAACAAAATGTTACTGCAGGGCTGCAGTATGTGTGTCCACTCTCGAGGGCCTACCTTTATTTGACCACCCTTTGTTCTTCCACAGGCCTTCAGGATGCTGTAGTCACACAGTTTCCAAGACATAGGATCTTGGGGACGAAAAAGGAATTAACTCTACAGTGCTCACAGAATATGAATCATATTTCAATGTACTGGTATCGCCAAGACCCAGGATACGGACTGCAGCTGATCTACTACTCAAATGGTGCCAACACCATTGCAAAAGGAGATGTCCACGAGGGGTACCGTGTCTCTCGAAGTGAATTGAAATACTTCCCCCTGACCTTGGAGTCTGCCAGTACCAACCAGACATCTGTGTACTTCTGTGCCAGCAGTGACTACACAGCGCTGCACAGCCACATCCTCTCTGCACAAAATACAGGCGAAGCAAGGAGGGAGGGGACACTGCCCTCAAGATTCCTGAACCCAAGATTCCACACGAGATTGCACTGAAGTCCTAACTATTCCTTACATATCTTTTCCCATCCTTGTCTCCTCTAAGATGTTTCCTATTGGAATCAAAGAATCTGTCTCTGGTTGAGATTTCACTAGGCTAGAGAGTCTTAACCCAAATGAATATTTTCTAAGGCAAACTTCAGTTTCCAGTTACCGATGTGGGAAAATTTTGATTGAATTGAATTCTTATCAAATAAAGAAAAAATTAACCCTTAATTTTGAAAAGATCTTCAGAGATTCTTCAATGGAGTCTCTCAATGACTGATTCATATTGTACAGGAAAACAGGTATTGTGGTGGGACTTCCTCAGATGGGGAATCTGGATCAAGAACAAGAGGAAGCAGAGGGAAGAGGGGAATAAAAGATTTACAGACAATATGTGGAATCAGGATTACCCAGAGGAAGGAGGAAATTAGTAAGATTAAAACAACACCAACTGATTACCTCACAGTCCTGCACGTCAAAAGTATAGGATGTGGGGGAGGAACGGGGGTCATGGGGAGTCTTTGCTCAGGGTCTCATGTGATTGCTTTCTCTTTTAAAGCCCAGCCCCTCCTCCTGGCTCATTCCCATTATTGGCAGACTTCAGTTCTTTGTGGTGGTAGAACTTAAGACCCTGTTTCCTTGTTGGCTATCACTGGGCATTTCTCTTAATTACCTGTAGTCTCTTTCCAGTCCCCTCCATCTTCAAAGCCAGAAATGCTCATTAAAATCTTATGCTTCAAAGAGCTCTCTGGCCTCTCCACAGGGATCATGAGATTAGAGTAGACCTATCTGGATAACTAATTTTTGTCAAAAAATATAACATAATCCCAGAAGTGATACCATATTCATAAGTTCCACCTCTACTCACAAAAGGAGGGGTTATACGTGGGCAAGGATCATTGGGGACCTTTATAGAATTCTGTCTTCCTCAGCAATGGAGAAGAAAGGCAAGAAAATCAGGACACCAGAGAGCTGAGCCCCTCTGCACAAGCAGTTGATCAATGCAGCTATAGTCTCTGCACTAAAATGGCAAACCCAAAGAGTGCAGTGACCTTGCCCTCAGGAGCAATGTGCCATCTCTGACCCTTCTTCCTTGCTCACATCTCCTCTAAACACAGCTGGGAAGGGTTCTACACTTTTAAGGACCCAAGTGATTAGATTGGGCACAACTGGATAATCCAGAATACTCTCCCTATCTTAAGGTCAGCTGACTAACAACCTTAACTACATCCACAACCTTAATTCCCTTTGGCAATCTAAACAGTCTCAGGTTGTGGGGATTAGTACTTCAACACCTCTAAAAGGACAATATTCTGCCTACCATAGTATTATTCCACTAGAGGGTGCTAAGAGATCCTTTAATATAAATATTATATTTCAGATAATGATGAAAGAGGAAGTTTGATAAAAATGAACATTGTGAGAATATACATTCTTCTCAAGTGCACACAGGACATTTTCAAAGGTAGACCACATATTAGGAACAGGCAAAGTCTCTTCAGACTCAAGAAGATAGAAATCATATTAAGAATCTTCTCAGATCACAATGGCATAAAATTAGATATCAACTACAATAAAAACAATGAAAAAAAATCAAATACTTGGAGGCTAGAATGATATTAAACAATGATTGGGTTACCAAAGAGATCAAAAAGAAATAAAAAGCATCTAGGAAACAAGTGACAATGACAACACAATAATCCAAAATCTCTAGGACACAGTGAAAGCAGTCCTGAGGGGGAAGTTCATAGCTCTACCAGCCTACCTCAAAAAACAACAACAAACAAACAAAACCCACAACAACAAGAAAAAAATAGTAATAAATTATCTAATCCTTTAACTTAAAGAATTAGAAAGAGAGCAACAAGAAAAGCCCAGAGTAAGCAGAAAGAATAAAATAATAAAGATCATTGTAGAAATAAATGACAGAGAGACAAAAACAAACAAACAAACAAAACACACACACACACACACACACACACACACACACACACAAAAGATCAATAAAACCAAAGCTCATTCTTTGAAAGGATAAACAAGATTGATGAAATTGTATACCTATGAATGAGTACAGTGGGGTGGTGGTGGTGGTGGTGGTGGTAAGGGCAGAGGGTGGGTTGGAAACCGGGTGGAAGGGGGCTATGGGGGGGGGGGGGAAGAAGAGAAACAATTGTAATAATCTCAACAATAAAGATTTATTAAAAAAAAAAAAAAAAAAGACTGATGAACCTCTAGCCAAGTTCATCAAGGAACAAAGAGAGAGGACCCAAATAAATAAAATCAGAAATGAAAGAGGTGAAGTAACAACCGACCCCATAGACATACAAAGGATTGTAAATAAATAAATAAATAAATAAATAAATAAATACTAAGAATAATTCTACTCCAAGAAATGAAAACCTTGATGAAATGGACATATTCCTAGAAAAATACAAGCTTCTAAAACTCAATCAGGAAGAATCAAAAAACCTGAATACGCCAATAACTACTGATTAAATTGAAACAACAACAACAACAATAATAATAATAAACTTACAGCAAGCCTTGGCTGGATTGGCTCAGTGGATAAAGAAAAAAAGCTGTGATACCCTTGGCCTCAAGCAAGGTCCCCAAGACTTGGATCCAGAGTAGTCTGGCTGCAACACAGCATCCAGGGACAGGGACCTTCTATGTGGAGCCACATGGGGAGAAGGCAGAGAAGCAAAGCGGTGCCAAGAGCATACAGGGGAACTAAGTGTGCTGTATAAATGCCTTTCACCAGCCCCTTCAGGAGGAGAGGAGGAAAAAGAAGAAAGATTGCCTAAACTACAACTTGAGAAAAGCAGCTGTTGGCACTTATGACCAAGTCTAATCTGCTGATGAGGAAAGAGTCCCATCACACACACACACACACACACACACACACACACACACACACATACACACACACACCAGTGAATAGACAAAGATGGGAAGAAACATGGAATTTTTTTCTGCAGAATAAAAATGAGGACTTCTACATATAAAAGTACAGCTTTGATGATAGCATTCACATTTCTGATACTCAAATATGTTATACCAATTTCCAATATAAAGCTGCAGAAACACTTGCCAAGCTTTATAAGAGCATACAGACACTATCAAATGCTTAGAAACAAGCAGCCTCAAAGCAGAGCAGGGACAATGACAGTGACCACAAGCTTGCCCTCCCATGTTGGCTTGTATTGGTTGGCTGTGTTAAATGTGAGAAAAGGGGAGTGGCTTCTCTCCTGAAAATGAAGGCCAGATAGAGACATTTCAGAAACCAGGCACAGCCCCCAGAGCTGGCAGACACCTGTGTGACACTGACATGGGCCCTCAGCTCCTGGGCTGTGTCATGCTTTGTCTCCTGGGATCAGGTGAGTCCCAGGACACCTGGAAAACCCTTGGCCAAAGTTTACAGGTCTTAACTGGAGTCGCTTTGTAGAGGCAACAGCACAGGCACCCTCCTCAGCTATCTCTAGCTCTGTCTCCTTTCCTCACAGGTTCCACAGAAGCTGAAGTGACCCAGACCCCAAGACACCGCATCACAAAGACCAAAAAGAATTTGACATTGACTTGTTCTCAGAATATGAACCATGACGCAATGTACTGGTATCGACAAGACCCACGGCTGGGTCTAAAGCTGATCTATTATTCAATTAATGTTGGTTATTTTGAAAAGGGAGAGGTTTCTGATGGGTACAATGTGTCTCGAAAAGAGAAGAGGAATTTCCCACTGACCCTGGAGTCAGCCAGCATCAGCCAGACCTCTCTGTATCTCTGTGCCAGCAGTCTAACCACAGCACTACATGGCCAGCTGCTCTCCACACAAAAAAGGCAGCCACAGAGTAAGGAGGCTCCTCCCTCAGGAGGCCCCACCCAACCAGGAGGGAAACCTTCCACCATCAGTGCCCATAGTGCCTCCCAAGCCCCCAGCTTCTGGGCCTCTGAGGGATGCAGACTCTCTGCAATGTGTCCTGCTCTCACTTGCTATACCAATGTAGCTAGGGCTACAGTTGTAAGATTTCTAGACAAGGAATCTTACACACTCTGTCATCCTTTCTCCTTACTGACCTTTTCTGTTGCCCAAAGAACAGTCCATACCAATCCAATCACTCAACAAAATGTTGTCTCATATCATAGATCCTATTCCTGGATGTTTTGTCACCAGGGAAATAGCACATTCCACACCTAATCTGTGGCCACCTCCTCCACATTTCTAAATATTAAATTCTTTGCAAATTTTACTATTTTTTCTAACTTCACTGATAACATCATGGTCCAGCAAACTTCATTTCTCTAGTGCAGCGTTTTTCAACCGCTGTTCCGTGGCACACTAGTGTGCCGCGAGATGTTGCCTGGTGTGCCATAGGTGCAGACAAGACAAGAATTTTATAATTTTTCACTAATTTGTTTACTTAATATTTCATAATAAAGTAATTATAAAATACTTTCTTTGTGTTTATTTGATTCCTATTCAAGAGAATTACTTTATATATAGTCAATATAGGCACAGAGTTAGATTTTTTAACATTTTCTAATGGTGGTGTGCCTCGTGATTTTTTTCATGAAACAAGTGTGCCTTTGCCCAAAAAAGGTTGAAAAACACTGCTCTAGTGGATTCTTTAACCACCTTTTAAGTAGTCACCCTCCTTTCTAGTCTGTTGCGTGATCCAACCCACAAATTACTCTCTTTAGCTTCAAAGCCACCAGGGTCTTCCACTTACAAACTGAAGTCTCATGCTTATGTTACTTCACAAGCTTCTCAGCTCCCTCTACGATGTGGTGTTTGCATACCTGCCAACTATCCTAACGTGAACTTCCTCTTTCTACAGTTACCGCAACTGCCTTCCTTTCTACCAGATGTATTCCACCTCTCTCATGTGTCCAACTATGTCCTATGCTGACTCACTCCTGGCTCATCACCTGGGGTTCATTTTTCCTGGAGCTCCCTCCCCTCCCTATCTACCTGGATACCTACTATTAATAATAACCATTCTTCTGCATATGAATTGAGAAGTCATTTCCTCCAGGAAAATGTCCTTGAGTTCTTGACTGCTTTGGTTAGTTCCTCTGCTAGGTGCTTGTATGACAGCCTGGACTTCTATCCTCATGGCAACTAATCCACTCAATTCTTTGTAATTTGAAATTTGCCCTAATAATAGACATTGAGGTTGATGAGAACAGGGACCATGTCTATATTATTTACTTTTTTTTTTTTTAATCTTCACACTTACCAAAGTACCCAAAGAAAGTGGTATTAAATGAATGAATGAATCAATATTTTCTTAGATCAGCTCCCTAGCCCCCCATCTCACTGGTCCAGAAGCTAAGCCCCCTGCAAAGTTTTCCTCATACAATTTGGGGAGAGTCCAGGGGCTTTCGTGTGTGCATATAAATAAGACAAATTATGTTTCTAGTGGAGCTTATTTTTCCTCTACTCCAGCCCCATGTTTACTCTGTGCCATATGTCACCCTGACAAGGTTGTTGTTACTTCTCTTGGGTACCACTGAACTATGTGATCCTTTTATTTTCCCAATCAGCCCTAAACTACCTACTTGACACTGCCGAGGATTCTGTTCTGTACCGTATTATTCACCAGGAAATATAATCTGGCAGACCCTATTGTTGCTCCCAGCAGGTTCCACCATCACATAAAGTGGCACACAACTACATGGACACATGCATACAAATATACTCATGAAATATTCAGGTTTCCCCCAGGGCATCCAGAAATCCAGGTCCTTTCCCCTCCTTTTAGGAGAAGCCATGATTTTCTCTCAGTTCTTTGTTGGGATTACCTACAAGTTCCTTGAACATTAAAAATAAATATGAAATATGTTCTTGGTTGAATAAATGTATAGAAGAGTAAAAGGGAATGTCTAAGAATAAGAAAATAAAAGTATGGAACATAAAACATATTCTAGATCTGGGCTAAGCTAGGAGGACAAAACATCTCAGTTTTTAGATTAATATAAGGAAGGGAAAAAGAGAGCACAGGGTGGGCCGAATGAAGTGTATCTGGAGAAAAAGTTAAAGAAAAAAGGGGTTTGGATGTTACAGCCATTTCCCCTCTATGTCACAATCCTCAATGACAGATTGGCCTCAGTCATCCAAGGGTACTGAGCACAATTAATGTCGGTTCAGGAGAAGGAACACTCTGGCATAGCCCTCCCAAAAAAAGACTTGTTGAGGTCAGAAGAGTCAGTGGAATGAATGTAAATGTGCAGGTTTGAGTAAATTTGTAAAAGCAGTTTTGAGGAGGTATTTAGAGAGACACTAGAAATGATAATGCTTCATTCCGGCTATGGAAATAATTAGAAAATTTAATCACTCTACATTAATAAAAATTGGTGTGCTGTGATGCTGAAACAATAATGTACAAGGAGATAGAATTTTAAGCACTTGAGATTAATATAATATTGTATGTCAACTGTAATTGAAAAAAATTAATAAAAATTTAAAGTCTAAGAAGGCAACAAAAATACGAATATACTTCTATAGACCTTATTTAAACAGAGGCCACCAGCTACTTTCATTCCGATTGACAAGTGGTACATGAAAATCCCTCCAGGTGCTATGGAAAAAATGGGCATGGCTCCCTCTTGACTTTGGGAGGTAGCTTTGAGCACAGACATATGGCAGAGATATTATGTCACAGGCTGGCTCACTGGCACCCAGATTTCGTTTGAGTAACACCAGAGCTAACACAGACACCCCGCCATGAACTCACCTGCCATGAGCACTGGGGCTTCTATCTGATCTTTAGCCCTTTAGCTCCTTAGAATAGTGGTTCATGGGAGCAAATAGGATGTCCTTGAACTTGGTATGCCACACCCCTACACTAAACCTTTCTCAGGTGGTTAGACATCGGTATCACACCTAAACTCTCTCTTCAGGTACCATTTCATTTCATATAGAGTGTCTGAGGATGCTGAGGTCACTAAAATCCCAGCTAGTAAGTTTCAGGGTCAGAAAAGAAGGAGTCTCTGTGATGTGACCAAAATATGTACTATGACCTATAAGTGCAGATTCAAACAAGAGCCAGAAATGAGGCCACAATCAATTAGCCCATTGGCATCAGGGGAACTGACAGATGGGAAGTCTCAAAAATAGATGGCATCTTTTAAAGTAATACGGAGAATCCCTCCTAACCTGCAGACATATCTGCCAGTAGTTAACCCACAGCACTGCCCAGCCACCTCCTCTCTTCACATAAAGGGCTGACACAAGGGGAGAAGTGGCTGTGTCTTCCTGAGCCCTGCCCCTACCAGGGGAAGCTACTGCCCTCACAGAAGCCTTTCTCTGCTCACCTCACTAGAGACAGTAGGAGTCCATCCCAGGACATGGAGGAGGACAGCACCATGAATGGGCTGTCATGGTCTTCTTTCCCTTACTTCTCTCTGCTCTTTCAATAAGGCTTCCTCAGCCCAGACCCTTTACCAGAATTCACCTGATATCAATCCGACTTCCCTGGCACCACCTGCTGGAGGGTGATTCTCTCTACTTCATACACACAGTGGTCCTCAGGGCCTCTGTCCAGGACCCCACAGGCTTCCCAGTCCATTGTATTTGCCCGTCCCCACCACCCTCACCAACAATAGCATTGGACTCTCCAGTCCTACTTTAATTTCCATTCAAACTGCTTTTCTAATTTCAGGTCTTGGCCCTGAATTTCCCTTCTCAGGGCTCAACGCCTTATTTTGAGTTATTTTATAACTGCATTTCACTCGTAACTGTCCCCTAATTACCTGGACCCCATCCGATTGTACATACTGTTTCCTCTGCCAAGTCCAACTGGCAAATTCATTCTTACCCTCCAGACCTCATGATTGTTTCCCAAGTTCCCCACGAGGTCTCTGGTCATGCACACAGGATGGCTAAGGTTTATGACACAGACCTGGTAAGGATACACAGCCAGATCATAAGGGAAAAGACATAGGCAGAGTGTGGAGGAATCTATATGAGATGTCCTACACTCCCTCCCTCCCATGAGGCCATACACTTTCACCCCAGCTATGACAATGCAATCACCTGTGTGCAATGTTAGTGTCCAGAGAAGCCCACCAGAGACTCAGCAACCAGATATTTTGGTGGCTGGTTTTATGGGCTGAATTGCATCTCTTCAAAATTCATATGTTGAAGTTTTATGCCCCAGTACCTCAGGATGTAACTGTATTTGGAGAAAAGGTCTTTAAATAAATAATTTATGTTAATGAGGTCATTGGAATGGGTCCTTTCCCAATATGCCTATTGTCTTTATAAAAAAGAAAAGAAAGAAAAAAGAAAAGGAAATTAGGACCCAGTCATGCACAGAAGGAAGATCATGTAACAACAAGGGGAGAAGATGACTTTCTATAATTCAATTGGTTCCTCTGAAGAAACCAACCCTGTTGGTTTAATGCCTTGATCTTGGGCTTCTAGACTTCAGAATAGTGAGAAAACAAATTTCTGGGTTTTGTCAACCACTATGGAAGCATTAGCAAATGAACACAGGTGGTCACACAGGTACCCTCTCCCTGACACATTCCAAAATTTCAGATTCAAAGAAGCAAAGTGGGTGTTCAATATAAACCACATTGTGCCAGTAGCCTAGACACAACGAACTAAACAGTGGGGACACTACTGAAACCCAGATACCCAGATGCAATCCCAGAGCCGACCCTGCAAGAAGGTCCTTCTAAGATAGCTGTCTCAGGCCTGCTGTGCTTTTTTCTACACACACACACACACACACACACACACACACACCTATAAGGAAAAGGGGTGGTTTTCGCTCTAACCCCTCTAAACTTTTTTAGAATCTGAGGATTGCTGAGGGATCATGAGTGTGGGCAGGACAATGACATCAGAGATGATCAGCCTGTAACTTAAGCCTCGAAGAAATACATTTGTGCCTCAAAACTGCCATGGGACTCAGGCTCCTCTGTGGTGTGGCTTTTTGTTTCCTGGGAGTAGGTGAGTCCAGGAAGTTGGTGGTGAACTCCTAACTTATTATTTCTAGACTCTGAATACAAGACTTTTTCTTCTTCAAGCTTCTTGATGACCTCTTTTGTCCTCCTTTCACAGGTCTCATGGATGCAGAAGTAACCCAAGTCCCAAGACATCTGATAAAAAGAAAGGGAGAGAAAGTTTCTTTGGAATGTTCACAGGATATGGACCATGAAAGAATGTTCTGGTATCGACAAGACCCAGCTATGGGGCTGCAGCTGCTCCACTTCTCATATGGGGTTGACAGTTATGAGAAAGGAGATTTCCCCGATGGGTACAGTGTGTCCAGGAAGAAGAAGGAGGGCTTCTTCCTGATCCTGGGGTCTGCCAGCACCAACCAGACATCTGTGTACCTCTGTGCCAGCAGTATATCCACAGCGCTGCACAACCACATCCTCTCTGCACAAAAAGGGCATGTGCCAGAGGGAAGTGACCTTAACTCTGGGCTGAGTTACCCTGGCTACTTAGAACAAAGGTGGCCACTAGGTGGGAACTAAGCCCATGGATGTACATCTTGGCTTGGAAAGCACAGGATATTTTTCATGCCCCATGCACTGTCATTTCCGAATTAGGGGCCATTCTGAAGTTAGTCTGCCCAGACTTGTGTATTATCCCCAATCTAAATTCATGAGACTCTACCCCAGTCAAGAGGAAACATCCTCACACATATTTAATGGAAAAAGCTCTGTTCTATCATTTTTTACCAATTTTTCTCTCCCTGTCTTATTGTCCCCCTTACTGTCATTTGCCACTTAGCTCCATGTCTTTGCTCTTAATCAATGTTTCACTAGGGGGCATCACACAAGCTAAACTCCTTCTTCAGATA